AAACAGGGCCCTGCAGCAAGAGGACATCCGGTAACTATCAGTAGCAACCTACCATATCCGTTCAGCTAGCTAGTAGGACCTCAGTCTTTTGTCCAGTTCTAGTACGCATTGGGATGCACCAGCCATAGCCCATCTGTTCCTACCGTAGCACTTCAGTGGTTCCCTTCAATTCCTCCTACTTGTTGAGTTCTGCATCATCTCCATGATTCCACAGGATGTTTCTGATGTGGTATGATGCCCGCAATGTAAGAAGCAGAGCTTCCATATGTTTGGTGTTCTGAGTTGCCAGCTTGAGCAGCTTTCGCAGCTTGAGCTCACGGACACGCAACCCGCAGACAATATTCCACGACATCATCCACGCCACAGAATATTCGAGATGGATATCGAATAATCTTGGTGCCTCCTGTCTTTTTCGTCGCAATCTGATTGGATCGACACATGGGATGACGTCCAAAGGGGGCTGTACCGAAAAGAAGAAAAAGGCGGCAGGATGGCTCCAGACGGTGACGTGGTCCAGAATTGTTTGACACAGCTGGGTTGAGTTCTTTGACCGCTCAGATCTTATCTCGCACCTCCTCTTGATGGGTTTGCAGACTGCAGACACAACTTTGTTTTCCTTTTTGGCACCAGTCATCTGTTATTATTAGACTATACCCATCCAAAATTAAATCATCACCATGAAGTCTTTCTCTGCTCTTTTGCTTTTGGTCGCTCCCCTTTTGGCATCTGCTTTTGCTCCTGCCAGTTTTGCCAGCCGATACTCTACCGAGATTGGACCTCACCGTATCGGTATGTCTTGTCTTTCAATGAGGTTCTGGATGGAATGACGTTTTTCTTTCGCGTACTCACCTCCCTCTTACTGTATTGTATTATCCATCATCATCCATCAGACCCCGAAAGTGCTCACAACCAAGCCGATAACTTGGATGCCATTCGAGTGACATACGAAGAGTGCAATGTGGATGGGGAGTGTGTTATTGTCCACGGCGAACTGGGCAACGATGGTCGATGGGCGGACGACAAGCACGTTCGAGGGGATATTGCCTCCCAAAATGTTCTCATGATGGAATGCGACGATACCGAGTAAACGAACGAATGCTGGGCGAAGCAAACAGAAACTTTTGACAGAACTTTCAACATGGAAGTGCTGTTCTCGATCGGATGATGATGAATGTATGAGTGACACGATAATTGACTGATGATGATGGCTGTGGAGGAAGCGATCGATTTGTTTTAATGTTGTTGGCGTCTATATTACTACCATAGCTGGGGTTTGTTCCTTTGAATTCAACCCTACCAGTATAAGCACACCAATAGCACATTTTTTAACCGTTACCCAGAACAGCACACCTTTTGATAACAAACTTCGCAGCAAATTTAGCAAGGCTGACTGCCTCTTGGAGTTTTGGTACATTGACTTTGAGAATGCCACAGGTCTTACTGACTACACTTTTCCCATGCATCCTCCGTGTAGTTTTCTGCTGCCAGCACAAAGGTTGGACGCCTGATTGTGCCAACCCCCCACCATTGTCTGGTTCGTTGGGGGGACACTATCCGGAGAGATCCTCGGCTCATTCCATTTTATTTCAGTAGTAGTACGGTAGAACACAACAGGGGAAAGTGCTGGCTGCCCGCCCAACAAGAAGCACAACTGAAAACAACGCAGTCGCCTTTCGAGCTTCAGCCAGGTTTGTGAACGTGCTGATGATAGCAAGGTCAGATCCATGCTAATGATTACAAGCTTGCTATGGAAGCGGCCGTGAGTGGTACGGTAGCTAGCTAGGAACGGTATCATACTAGAGTAGTGGGGAGAGGTCGTTGCCAACGGTACGGTACCCAAGCCCGGTGCGAATCCCATTGTGCTTCCGTCCAACCATTTGTTGTTTCTGTGGATGGCATGTCTGCTCCCCAAGCAAGCCAAAACTCTTTTACAACATCTTGCTCCTGTCAATACTCTCAAATGATGTTTTTCATCCAGACCGGCAGCTCCATCTCCCTTGGTCTAAAGCCACTCATTTATGTCTTTGGTGGATCCAGCAAAGCCAAGCTTTTGACCTGCGTGTTGGTCCTCAATTTATCTCCCCTGATCCCATGGAACCTAGTCCCAAATTTTGCCTCTTCTGTGCCTAAGCCTGGCCTCACAGACTTCGCTACATGTACTTGCCTGGTATCAAATAGTTGTGGGGCAAAACACCAAGTAGATTTTCGCTTGAAAAGAGGTCTCCACGGAGATCTCTACCTAATACAGCTGGCTTCTATTGATGAACTGACGTCAGTGCCGGATCCACAAATAGCTCGTCAAAACTTCAACAAGAAGCCCATCAAGTGGACTAAGCGAACAAATCAAATGCAGAGAGCAGAGAGAAATACATCAAGCACTCAATTGCCTTCGCAACAGACGGCAATTCAAAACTACCATCGACACGAATGTTTGGTTTGATCTATCTAAACTTGACGACGACAAACTAACTTATTAGTACCAATCACTACAGAAGGAAATCATCGCCATGAGTTTTCGCTCGTTGAATTCCCCACCGTTGGTGGCGGCGGCAGGTGCTGTCATTGTTGCCGGTCTCCCCTTTGTCCAAGTGGGCGCGGTATCCATGGCGGCCCTGAAAGTAGCCAATATTGTGGCATTTGTCACGAATACCACGGCCGTGTCGATTCCAGGTCGCATGGATGGAGACCAAGATGCCCGTATGCGTCAAGGGGATATGAACCCCCACGACGAATCGACTCCACTCAACAATAACAATAATATCGTCCAACGCAATCGCACACTAGTGGCGCCCGCTGGATGGGCCTTTGCCATTTGGGGTCCGATTTATTTGGGAGAAGCCATTTTTTGTGGAGCGCAATTTTGGGATCCCACCATGACGGCAGCCGTGCCATCCATGACGGCCCCCTTTGTGGCGGCCAATTTGACGCAATCCCTCTGGTGTGCATCGTTTCGATCGTCGTACAGCCAAGGCTGGCACAAATATATATCGGTATTCATGCTGGGTGGGACCGCTTTCTCGCTGTCGCAAGTGCCATTTGCCGACATTGCCAGTCCCTACATGATACCCTTGACGATGCATTTTGGCTGGACGACAGCGGCCACATTGGTTAATTTGAATGGAAGTTTGGCCATGGGTGACAACACATCGGAGCGAACCATTATTGCCGCGGGGCATTTGTCCGCTGTGGTGGCGACTGCTCTTGGCATTGGGATCACTGTGACACAAACCTTGCCCGTCTACGGATTTACCGTGGCGTGGGCGTTGGCAGCCTGTAGTAGCGGAATGAAGGTCAAACCAGATGATCCCTCGGCGTCCTCGACCCTAAAAGCGGGGGCCAAAGTCCAGCAAATCCTATTGCTGGCTGGTTCCGTTTTGAGTGCTGGAGCATCTATCTACACGTTACTGCAGTAGACGTGCTTGTGACAGACTTGGCACTTGCACAGATATCATACAACTAGCCAGAAAGGCAGATACGGCCTGGTGCGTACATGGCAACACCCCATCTTAGATACATAGAAAAAAGGAGGTTTGAACCTGTTATGATGCTCCCATACCATAGTAGGCCGTCATTTTCTCTGGCCCACTTCAAAATGTGCAAGTGGCCGGCCAGCATTAACAAGAGCAGAGCAGGAATACTCATCCCAAATAAATGCAACCATTCTCTCTGGCCCATTGGCTAACTTCCAAAATAACATGTTTCAAGAGCTGCGAAAGCATACCTGGTACATAACACACAGATTCATCCCAAGGGCAACCACTGTCTCTTGCCCACTAGTAGAGGATGTCTAAGTGCCCACTTTCTTCAGCAGAAGATCAGTTTGCTTCATCCCATGGGCATTCCTTTATTATTTTCTCTTGCCCATTTATTTGAGCAATCCAAATTGCCCACTTTTGACGCAAGGTCTTTCAAGTCACGTGGTGGGAGTACAAGTTAAGCTCCTCGGTGGTTAATTGTGCATCACCATTGGGCAAAACAGAATGCATGCAGCAGGGATATCTTTTTCTAGCTAGGCTGGAAGAAGCTTTGTGCGCCTGAGTTGCCGTGCCGGGTCCTCCCATGCCGGCTAGAAATAGGTGTACAGTGTCCATCGTTTGACGTTTGTCAACGGTGTTGCCTAGTTGATACGACTATATTAGTGGAGAGTGATTTTGCTTCTTGAGTAAATTGGTCCCTTGCTTTCAAAAGTTGGGATTGGACTATTTTGTTGAAACAATAATTTCTCAAGAGGATCTTGCAGTGTATTGTTTAGATGGTTGACAGGGTTTGTTCATTCCACATCACTCCAGCTCCCCGTCGGTATTGTTATCCGAGGCTCCTTCATCTGGCTCTAGAGGAACCACAAACTTTTGCTCCAACCCTGTGGACGGGTCGACAAAGGAAGCACCACCTCCACCCATTCCACGCTTCATTTGTTGAGACTTTTGCATCAAGTTGCGGAACCGAGATCCTCCGCTGCTGACTCCAAGATCGCCATACGACTCATCCTCCAGCGAGTCATCATCATCAAAGAAGGATTCCTGCTGCGCGCGTGACTGTTGCTGTTTGAGGAATGCTTGGGCTTGAGGAGATTTCATCCGTTCTGCTTGTCTCTGATTAAAAGATTCACGTGTTTCTTTGAATTGTTCGTAGTTCTGTTGCGCTTGCTCACGGTCTTCATCGCCCCCCCCTAACGAGTCGAGGAAATCATTGTTCTCCCAGCCCTTCCCAAACATACCGTAATGTCAGATCAAGTTGGTTGTACGGTAGTAGTCAGCAAACGAGATCACACACGTACCTTTCCGCCTACCATTGCTAGGCTGGAGTCAGCGAAACCAGCTATCGTAGGAACAGTGAACGCATGAGTGCAGCCAAGGAGGTTGCTAGCAATAGCAACAACGAGAAGAGCACAGGTAGTCGGCATCTCTTTCTTTCTGTGTCAAAAATATGACAGCTGCGAAAGGAATTCGGAAGGATCTCGCAGAAGCCTGGATGAAGGATCCAAGTAATTGGTATCTTGACAACAAGGTAAGCCCAGGAAACCTTTGCTCAAGAAAAACGATGAGAGGAGTTTCGTAAGTCGCCATAACATCTTGTCATTACCAGGTATTCCCCCGAGAAAAGGGGGGTTTAGAGTAAGTGATGTTTGGAATCTTTCCCCTTGCCCGAAATCAGAAGACCAGCTAGTACAAGATAGATAGAGCTAGTCTATAGCTACGGTGTACTAAATAGTAGAGCACCTTTCTCTCGGCACATTGGCAAAAGGATAGTCCAAGATGGAAGAAGACAGCGGAAACAAGATAGGGGTGGTTGCAGACTGCTCCCCAGCGTTGTCACAAAAGCCAGCAAAAAAATCCATCGAGGTATCCCGCCAAGTCGCGACGGAAGCTCTTTCCTGTATCTTGCGGTATTTACAGGCAGACAAGAGCAAGAGCAAGCCAGAAGCAGCCCAAGTGCGAAAGGCTGTGTTGACTCTACAGGAACAGGTGAATGCCATTGTTCAAGAGGCAACCACCAATCTCCAGAAAGCCCCAGAAGATTCGTGTTTGCGACATGAGGATATTTGGATCAATAAGATTCTCCCTTGTCTTGGTATGGGGCAGTATGCCTTTGTGGCACCGGTCAATCATAAAATGAAGGATCTCTACAAAGCATACTGTACAAATGTTGAGGTACCTCCAAGGGTGCTTCATGTTGATGATGACTGCAATAATGTTTTCGATCGCTCAGCAACCCCTACTGGAGCGTTCCTCAATCGTGCATGACTTTATCGAAAACCGACCCTAATTTTGGGTCGGATTTAGGGACGGATTCCCCTTTAGGGTCGGGTTTCGAAACCGACCCTAAAATTAGGGACGGATTCTGAAAAAACATCCCTAATTTAGGGACGGGTTTCGATTTAGGGGCGGGTTTGAAAACCGTCCCTAAATGGAAGCGGGACTGAGTGGTAAATACATTGAAATCCGACCCTAAAATAGGGTCGGGTTTCGAAACCGACCCTAAAATTAGGGACGGATTCTGAAAAAACGTCCCTAATTTAGGGACGGGTTTCATTAGGGCGGTTTCAAAACCGACCCTATTGCTACATGGAATTAGGGTCGGTTTCAAAGATTTAGGGGGATTTGGGTCGTATTTTAAACTCACCCACGATTGAGGACGCCCCAGATACATTTTTCAGTGCAACTTGTTCCAGCCTGTCTCGAGCACAACATTGGTACACCCACCGTGATACCGGTATGGACGCAGGTGGAGATGGGGGAGAAACTGATGATGGACATATTGTCTGCAACACAGCTGCCAGCAAGGGACAAATTCAAATTATTCAATGGGCTCGAGAAAGGATTTGATTGGGATGAAGTCACTTGCGAGGAGGCTGCTAGACATGGTCAATTGGATGCCCTAAAATATGTCCATGAAAATGGCTGTTTGGATGAAACCACATGCTGCTGTGGGCCATTTGGAATGCCTCAAGTATGCCATGAAAGAGCTGTCCTTGGGATGATATCACGTGCCAAGAAGCAGCTTCAGGTGGACACTTGGATTGCCTCCAGTATGCCCATACAAATGGCTGTCCATGGGATGAATGGACATGCCAGAATGCTTCTGGGAGTGGCCATTTAGACATTCTGAAATATGCCCATGAAGGCGGCTGTCCTTGGGATGAAGACACATGCAAAGATGCTGCGAGGGAAGGCCATTTGGTTGCCTCATACGCCATGAAAGAGGATGTCCTGGGATCAAGACACATGCAAATGCCGCTAGTGGTGGCCATTTGGAATGCCTCAAGTATGCCCATGAAAGAGCTGTCCTTGGGATGAGGACACATGCCAAGCTGCTGCCAGTGGTGGCCATTTGGAATGCCTCAAGTATGCCCACGAGAATGGCTGCCCATGGGATCAAAAGACATGTGCTGGTGCGGCTCAGGGTGGATATGGCAGTTCTGAAGTGCGCATACAAATGGCTGTCCATGGGATAAATATGTTTGCAAAGATGCTGCAGGGAGGGGGCACATGGACATTCTGATGTATGCCCATGAACATGATGCCCTTGGACAAAAGCACTTGCTCCTCTGCTGCACGAGGGGGGCATTTGGAAATTTTAAAGTTTGCTCGAGATAATGGATGCCCATGGGACGCAGACTCGTACCAACGCCTGGTTGCCAGAAATGTTGGAATGGGCCAGGGAGAATGGTTGTCCATATCGGTGGGACACAGACAGCGAGGATGACGACTGAAAGAACCAGTCGGCCTCTAGTGCTAGCTAGTAGTAAACTCCCATGAAATCAAAAGGAAGCACTACAGGTGATGGGTTTTGGTTATGCTTTATCCCTTGCCTACAGCAACAGTACGATTTTGCAAGTTTTTGGTCCCACCTATGAATAGTTGCCGGTTGTTAGTTTCTTCCGCGCGACATCGATTACCATTGGCCGGCTCTAGCTAGATAGCAGGGCGCCGCACGGAGAGAGGAGCTGAATACAACCCCGCGGCTGTTGCAACTCCAATCAAGCCCAATCCAAGACTGTGATGATTGCACGCTCACGTACTGCACAGGGTCCTCCATCATGAATTTGCAATGTCCAGAAAGGTGCCACCAACACTGCATTTTCTTTTTTTTTAAATGGTGATGGTTGGTGATGAAAATGGTGATGATGGTGATCAAAACAATGGCTGGGTGATGAAAATGATGAATTGGTGATGAATCGAATGATCAACCCACGTTATCCTCCGATGTTGGTCACTTCGTTGTGTTCCCTACTAGTAGCTAGTTCGTTGATAGATTCCTATTCTTCCTGAGAGGCAAGCGCTTATACGGATAGCTCATAGCTATGCGTGCAGCTTGACAGTGTCATGACTGTGCCATATAACGTACCGGTAAATATATATGCATACCGGCACTAGTCTATGCAAATTAGTTTATTAATTGACCAAGAAAGCCTGAATTCCAGTTTCAATAATCAAATCAAAAGTGACAAAGAGCAGAAATGCCAATGCCGCATACGATCCCAATTTGGTGTACGCGGATGTTTCAAAGTCGGCCGTGAATTGTTGCAAATCCTGCTTGTACTCTGCCACTCGAGTATCGACATCGTCGGGTGACACGGTCTTGCCCGTTCCCTTGGAGACGGCTTGAAAGGCCGCATAGCTCGTCAATGGCTTGTTGTTATTGTTCTTTTGTCGCGACAATGCCAATAGAAAATCTTCCTGAATGATATATCCCTTGGAGGCAAAAAAGGACGTGGATTCTCCCTGTTCATTGATTTTGGCCGCCGCTGGGATGGACTGCACGACCGATTGGACATCCTTGACGGACAATTTGTTGGGATACAGCAACGAGACCAGGGGACCCGTTGGAACAGTCTCTTCGTCGGGTGCCGGTGCTCCCTGTTCTTGGGAGAGTGTTCGAATCAGACTGACTTCCTTGACAATGCGCGGTATTTGAGCAATGCCAATGCCACCAGCTCCAGAACCGGCGCCAAAGAGAAAGAAGAACTCGGCTTTAGCATTGTCGGGATTAATTTGTTTCAGTAATCCTGCAATGGAATGCGAACTACTTGTCAGGGCATCAATTTGGTCGGGCGTAATAGCAGCGAGGTTTCTCCGTGTGCTTGAAAAACGTCCTGATGACGATGATGATGAGATTGAAACAAACCCAGTCGCCACTGGAAGCCACAGAAACAGCAGCAGACTGATGATGAGCTTGAGGATGGAGTACATATTGGTTGGTGATTTTCTATCGTTGGGGTGTATAACTGTACTGTACCGATAAGCTACAATGCTTTGATGGTTGCATTGGCGGTTTTTGATGAGTTGGTTGTTGGTTGTGTGAGGGGGGGTGTGGATGGGTGGAGGATCGTCTCAGTCCGGCTTCAACCGTGAATGATAGAACGCATAAGCCAGTGGGCTGGCCGATTTTGAGTCTCCTCGAGGATCCCGTACCCGCACCGTACCGGTACGAAGGCGGCAACAGAGGACATGACAAGTTGGAAACAAGAAAAGAGGACAACATGCAAACAGTTGACAGAGGAAAGGGGGCAGGTGGGAGCAGAATGTTGCAAAAACGGCAAGTGCTGCACAGGCGATTAGCTATGCATAGGCATGGCTTTCAACAAGGTCACGCACCGTACGTGTTACTACCGGCCGTCCGATAGCCTGGCCCTCTAGCTAGATAATCCCCCCCAGACACCCAGACTAGCTACATCATCGTAGCTAGACTAGATCTACTCTGAACCCCCGTTTGTCATTCAAAGCCAGCGGAGAAGCGCGATGGCAAAAGTGCAAGCTGGAAGAAGGCAAGTGGACTGTGAGCCACTACCATGAGACCTACCTGGTAGCTAGCTACGGTTAGCTAGTATTGTAGTCTATCTGTCGTGCCGTGCCAAGAAAAGGCTTAGAGACTACGGTAGTACTACCGTACGTACGTGTTACGAGTCCTCAGTCCTGTAAAGAAAAAGCTTGGGCGGTTGCATAATCGCTCCTGCATTGAAGGGTTGGTCACCGCAGCAGCAGTCAAAATGGTGGGGTTCATTTCATTTGACACATTGAAACAACATGGAAGGAAGAGAACGGTCGAAGCAGGATGTTGATGGTGGTGATGGAAATGATACACGTAGAACCAATTCGAGTTACTCGAGGCAACGACAAGAACTTGATGCTGATAGTTGTGGCGACGAGATGAAAGTTCAGGACGAAGTTGCCGGCAGAGACAAGAAGATGTCAGCCGCCAGGCGAATCCATGGATTGAACACGCAGCAGCAACAACAGCAACCCCCCAGTGAAACATTTGAGGACGAAGAAATCACGAGAATCGTGGCGGAGCAAGCTGGTTTGGCCGAGGCAGAACAGCTAGAACGAGACGAACTTGAGCAAAAGCATGGGAACCACAATGAGCTCATTCAAATGGCAATTGACATTAACGAAGTTGCCAAAGTCGAAAAATGTGCCAAGGTGTCGGGAACTCCTACATATGCATCGACCACAAGCGAAACAACGGACACAACAACCCAGCCATCACTCATTCAAATGGCAATTGACATGAACGAAGCTGCCGCAACGGAAAAGTGTGCCGCAAAGGTGGCAAGAAATCCTAGGCATGCGTCGCCCCCTCGCGGATTGGAATTCTTTCGCGACAGAAACAAACGAGACACAGCAGCACAGACCTTGCAAAACACAGCAGCACAGATGTCAAGTAGTCAAAGACAACCAGACACCTCCGTAGCAAGCCCACGCTCTCTGCAGAGACAACAACAAACACAACAACAACAGCTGACCAGACCAGGAGCCTACGGGGGTGCTCCAGGGGAAGCACTGCAACGAGCTAGAAGGCTTCGTTTCTCTCTTGTGGGGGTCCACGGGGAGCCACTCTCAAATATGACGGATCCAAGCATTGATTCGTTCACAGCACAAAGTCACAGCAACAGTTACAATGTCACTACCAGTACTACCATCAGTGGCCGGCAACTGGCAGTTGCCAGCCTGGTTCTCGATGATCCCAGTGGAGACCTAATCAGGCCCAACGCCAATCCGGTGGATACTGCCAGGGTTCAAGAAAGACAACGAAACAAGAAACGGCAGAAAATACTATTCATTTGGTTTCTGATCACGGTAGTCAGTGTCGCCGTCATTATTGTTGGTGCGGTGGTTGGGACGCGAAAACGCCAAAAGGAAACAGTCGCCGCCCCAGTCCCCGCGACATTGGCACCAACCCCTACCAACAATTCTGTTTGGACCTGGGACTTGCCTTTTCCAATCTCCAACACCACTCTGCGTGTCTTAATGCGGGACCCCTTTGGCAATGAGACGGCAGTATCAAAAGCATACCTTTGGGTTCTCCAAGATCCTAACCGGCAAACCTATTCAGAGCAAAGGCTTCTACAACGATTTGTCATGGCAGTATTCTACTTTTCCACAATTGGTGACGAATGGTTTCATCAGGGTGGAGGCACAGCGACCATTGCCACAGAAGCCAAAGACGGCAGTGGGGGTAGTCCGCCACAAGGGAACAGCACCGGTGGTAGGCCGCCAAGAGGAAACAGCACCGGGGGTAGGCTAGGAGGGAACAGCAACAATAGCGGACAAGGTGGGGGCAGCACTGGCGGTAGGCCGCCAGGAGGGAACAGCAACAATGGAGGACAAGGTGGGGGCAGAATGTTATGCACGCGGCAAACAATGCAGAATGTACCCAGAGTGCTTCAACAAGGTACATCAAGTCAACCTGGCATCACTTGGATAAACATTACATCAGAGAGATGGCTGTCATACAGCAATTCAAGCTCGGAGTGTGACTGGTACTCAACTGGAGCCATTAGAGGACATGTGGCTTGCAGAGGAAACTATATTTTGACGTTCCTTGGAGTCGTGCAAAACAACCTTCAGGGTTCACTGCCTGGGGAGCTTGGGTTTCTATCATCCTTAGAACATCTTGAAGTGGCTCGAAACTCCATTGGTGGCAAAATCCCAACAGAGATCTTTGCTTTGCCAAATCTTCGGGTGCTCACCTTGTACCAAAATCAAGTGAGTGCCGGCGCGTCCGTGTTCATGTTCATCCCTTCCACCTACAACCTGTACTCACACTCTCTCTGAACTCAATAGTTACAGGGAACAATTCCCTCTCAAATTGGTTTCCTCTCAAACACAATAGAAAATCTTGCACTACTTGACAATGCACTAACAGGTCTGTTGCAACATTTATGGCTCATGTGATGGATACAAATAGAATTTCTCACCTTTTCTTGTGTCTTCAGGGACAGTACCCCAAGAACTCTTCATGTTATCCAACCTGAGACAGCTTCGACTTAGTACCACTCGTCTTATGGGATCACTTCCCAGTGATATTGGCTCTCGCTTGCCACGGCTAAATCAACTAGACTTGACCAGAAGTCCATTTGGTGGGACCTTACCGTCTTCCATAGGCCTCTTGACTGCAATCACACAACTTGGGTTCCATAACACTGAAGTCTCTGGTACCCTCCCCACAGAGCTCGGTGGGTGTGCAAACCTGGAAAGGTTGAATGGAAAGGAAAGTAACTTTTCTGGAACTTTACCGTCAGAGTTGGGGATGCTAACTGGCCTACAGGTAGGCACCTCTGAGGATCCAATTGTGCTCCCATAAACTCTTTGATCTCAACAGCTTGTTGCCTCTTGGATCTGCTCTTTTAGGCAATCAATGTGGAAGGAAACCCAGGATTGATTGGGAATATCCCCTTTGAATTTACATTATTGAACAGGACACTTCAAGCTTTTGAAATTGGTGGTAAGAAGCACCCTATGTGGTCCTGTTCAGCAGTCTGCTGCTGCCATCTGACTGACACACACTCATCCCACTATGTTTCTAGGAACCTCCATTACTGGAACTATTCCACAGGAGATGTGTCGGATCAATCATCTTAGCTTTGATTGTTCTGAATCCCTGTGTGGTTGTGACTGCCCTTGCCCACAGGCTTAGAATTACAAGTCCCGGGTCCAGTACCAAAAACAATGCCATAAAGCAGTTAGATCTACTATGCAGACAGTGCACTCAATCTTTTTACTTCAATAATTTGATGAATGGAGCCTGGCCCTCGCTGCCTTCCGTAGATAATCTACCTACTCGTCCCGAGGCCACTTTCGCAAAACGTGATGACTCTTTTTGACATGATAGTTGCTCTATAAAAATGATTACTGTAGGGGAGAGTGTATGTGCAATACACACAGTATCGGTACCGTACACTTCAGGCTGGAATCGGATGGCTGCAACTATGACATGCATTCTAATTTCTAATCGTCAACTACTGACAGGGCCATGCACTTATTACTGGAGGGACATTGATAGCATAAATGTGATCTATGAGATTGGATTGTAGTTTAAACTTGACTACGGTGGACTAAAGAGCGAAAGACAACAGGGTATCTTCGTCACCTAACAGGGTGCCACCCGAGGAACGGCGGGGCACTCTCTCGTCGACATCAGGTTTGTATATTGGATAGGTAATTGAGGACTCATCGTCGTTAGCAGGGGGGCGGTTGATGTCGAGCTCGGCTGAAGCGGCGATCTTGGCCAAAGCCTGCACGGTGCGGCCACGGTGGGACGGTTCCTCGTCCTTTTCTTTTTCTTCACCAGGCATCATTCCCTGGGCTGGGCGATGGTACCAGGGCGGAGAGCAGTTCTTTTGGCAACAGCAGTCAACTCCGCAACAGAACTCATTGTTGCTTCGGGGGCATCCTTTTGATACGACGGTGCAATGAAAGGAATCGTCCAACCTCAACGAAGACATCTTCCTGGCTTCTTCTGCCTCAATCAAACGTAGTTGTACGCTCAATCCGCGCGTGTTCCTCCAAGGAATGCTCTGAAGAGCTCCACTGCGAGCCACCTCGGTAAAGTCTTGCCATTCCACTTCTTGCCCGTGAACCGACGAGGAAAGGCGACGCTCGGAGCCTGATCGAGAGGTTATGTCTCTATGTGAACGGTGACTGTGATCCGTTTTGCCGATGTGTCTCCGGTGCTGTGTTGCAGCTTCGTGATTCGAACGACCAAAGACGTCCTCCAAGGACATGGACTTCCCAGCATCGAAACGACCGCTACCACGATACCGTGGCGACAGATGCTCGCCTCCGCGACTAGTTCTTCGAGCCATTTCATTTTCTTCGTTGTAGTGGCCTCGGAAAGGATCGTGTAGATGTCCTTGCTGAAACGACAAGAGGTGCGCACTGCTGTGCATGTCCGGACGACCGGTAGTCAAATGAGAATGACTCGCATAGTGTTGTGCTTCTAATTCGTGAATGGTCGGAAAGGACTCATGCATACTTCTGCCATAGCCCAAGTTAGGGTGGCTGTAGTATACATCCTCGCCGGCCCCAAAGTACTGATGGTCAACCCATGGAGATCGATGCCGACGAGGGCGCTGGACAGGCATGTTTTCGCGCGGATATGAGTATCCTCGCAAGTCGGAATGTGGTCGACCTGACAGGTCCGAGTAGACAGACTGTGCTTCGTCGTAGTGTTGCCAACTCATGTCATCCAGAGCAAACCCGATAGCTTCATCCGGACTGTAACGGCTGGATCCTCGGGTTCGACCCATGCGCTTTGCATGGTGATGAACGGCGCTGAAACGTGTGGGCAACGATGCATGGCCATCATCCAGTGCTTGATGCCTGGGCCGACGGTTTCCCTGGCCCCTGGCCTCGTTTGTCAGAAAATCGTCCAACGTGCTCTTGCTACCAACTGTTGATCCCATCTGATCCATCCCAAGGCTCCCACTATAGAGCGAAGGGTCTACTCGGTCAAGATCTAAACCGGCCTCGCCAACGTAGGGGAACAACGGCGAAGTGTCCACGGTCTTCTTCTCAACAACAATAGCTGGCAATGGAGGCGGGGCCTCTGCGCTGGCTGCGGAGATTCCATCATCTGCATCTTGAGCCTCTTCGGTCTGCTCCCTTGCTGAGGATTCTGATGGAACCGCAACTTCAGCGGTGATTGGTGTTGATTTCTTCAGGTGCTTGCCCGTACTGGGCGATTTGTCTCTTTCACCCCTCGAAACCTGATTTGTTGCTTTGGTCGGAACCCGGCGGGGGCTCTTTGGAGACCGATCCGGAAAACCTCGGCGACCCCCATCCAAAGTGCGACCCCGTCGACCCGCTTCTGGCTCATTGGATGGCGACAATGGCTTCTCGCCTTCCTCCTGATCAGTTCTCTTGGGTCCTTGGGCTCGCTCCTTGGCCTCCTTTGCTGCTTTCATCGCCTCTATAGCTTCATGGTCGATGTCGAAGTCAACCTCCGTGATTGGCGCCGCTGCTTCCTCTAACCCGCTGGTATACAACTCTTCATGGTCATCATATCGATCCATCAGACTCTTCAGGACATCCACGCCTTGCGACGAACGCCTATCAGGGCTCTCCGGCGCCTTGTCGACAACATGTGTCGGCAAGCTTCGGCGACTCAAGTGGGGAGCACGGTCTTCTTCAGGTTGCGTTGTGCCTGGTTCCTTGCTGACCGGACGCCTCGCTGGAGACAACGAGCGCTGGCCATGCTTCAACCGTGCGGGCAAACTTCTACGACCACGTTCTGGCTTAGTGCTTTCTCCTGGAGCATGGTCCTGAGGAACTACTTTCTGCCTCGGTCGTGGTCGAGCGGACATGGAACGTTGTGACGACAAGGATCGGGAACTTTCCCCCAGGTCGTCTGATTGGCGTGGACGAGGTGACAAGGACCGATGCGACAAGGACCGACAGCTATCCCCCAGGCCTCCTGGAAGGCTACGGCGCTCTGGCTTTTGAACGGCTTTTTGTTTTTCCGCTTTCATCGAGATTGGATCGGTTGCTCGTCTCTGACGGGGACGACGTGGTGGAGACAAGGAACGCTCAACCCGCCGACGTATGGGGGCAGCTCGCCGTAGTTCAGCACCGCTGGCAATCATCTCTTTCTCGTTGTGGCTGCTTCGACGCACATCATGTGTAAGATCGCTCTGTGTACCCATGACATTTTCTCCTTGACTCGTGCGCCGGACATCGTGAGTGCGGTCACTCTGTGACATGAACTGATCTGTCTTGGTGTCACTCTGGCGAACTGAATCGCGCTTCTTTGGGTCCTCATCTTCATCCGTATCGTCTTCTAATTCAGGGGTGATCAAGTCTTCAAGCGTGAGGGAGCTCCTGGCACCAGAAGCGCTCTTGCCACGGCTTGGCGGCTGTTCCTGCTTAGACGAGGGATCTATCTCAGATACGGGTTCTTGCTCTTCTTCCTCTGACACCGGTTCCGGCTGTTCTTTCTCAGACAACTCATCCCCAAACGGCATTTGACAAAAGTCGTAGAGGTCCAAGCTTGACGTGCTTTGATGCCCATAGTTCCCCGTGGGCGGCTCTTCTGAAACCCTGGAGAGGGCTGTGTGCTGCGTCAAACTGTTCCTGTTAGGAGAACCGTCGTTGGCTTCAGCAATGTCTGTCAAGTCGAAGGATTCCGGCTTTCCAGATTTCTTTTGTTTCGCAAAGAGGTCTTTCAGATCGTCATCGCTCATTTCGAGCATCTCCATTAGAATGTTGGGGGAGCTTTGGTTTGGACTCTTGGGCGAGGACTTTGGGGAGTTCTTTCCTTTCTCGAGTTCCGTCAGATTGGGAAGACTCCTGCGTTGGTATGAGGGAGACAGCAGCGACCCCGTATGGGCACTACCAATCTCGTGTGCCGAAGATGCGGAAAGCTTGCTGTTTTTACTGTTCTTGCTTCGACTGCCTTTGCTGTTGCTTTTTTCATCGACGCTGGTTGCGGGTTTGATCAACTTGCGTGAAAAGAGAATGTCCAAGTCATCAAAGTTCTTCATGAATCGTTTGAGAACCTCTCCTGGCCGTGATCTTCGTTTCAGTGGCTTGGAGCTGCCGAGAGTCGCCGGTGAAAGACCAAAGTCACCTCCGACGACCGCTCCTTCCGTGTTGGAGACTGGACTCCCTCCACTCTTGTCCTTGCTGTTGGAGGACGCCTTTTCCATGGCCACCGCCTCTTGGATCCCTTGAGAAAACAATGCATCCAAGTCATCATATTGGTTCAGAAAGGTGGACAGCTCATTGACGGGTCGACTGGCTCGTCGCTGCTGTTGAGGTGGTGGAGGTTGTTGAACCATAGCGGCAGCCACTGTGGCTTTGGTTGTTGGCAGCGTGTTGGGTTCTTCTGCCTCCTGCTTGTCCAGTCGTTTCTTCTCCTCTTTCGCTTTCTTGGATTGCCTCTTTTCTTCTTTCTTATTGCTGCTTGTTTTGGTCCCCTTTTTCTTTGGCTTTGCCGCAAGAGGATCGCTATTATGAATGGTGGTTGGCAAAGGCATGCTTCGTTCTCCCCCCGACACAATGGACCGAGCAGGTGGCATGGACACAATATCATCGTCTTCGTCCATACTAGAGTACACCTTTTTGGTGCTGCCCTCGGCAGTATCCCTTTCGACGAGGTCAGTTTGTTTGATTAATGGTGGTGGCTCTTCCTTCTTTGCCTTTTTGATCTTGCGTGTACTGCGCCGTTTGGAAGACCGATCTTTTGGCTTTTTGGTGGATTGTTTGGTTGCCTTGGCTGCTGACTGTACCGATGACTCGGACTTGACCTTTCTCAGAAGTGTCGGAACATCGTCCGAGTCATCCTGACTGAGACGTAAACCAATAATGGGATCGCTCTCTTGAAGCTTGTTGTTGTATTCAGTACTTGGTGGTGGTTGCTGTTTGACATCAAATTCTTCTTCTGTATCATCCACTCCTAGCTTGGACAAACTATTCAAAAAGTCCACGCTGGATTGATTCAATGATGGCGCCACACTAGTACTGCTGGTTCTGGGTTTGCTGTTGCCTTCCAAAAACATTTGTCCCGCCACAGAGAGTCGACCAAATTGTTTGACCCACTTGTCATCGGCTTGTGCTCGTGCCTTGCGGGCTGTCGCCTGTGCTTCTTCGGCATATAATGTGAGATTGGTGGGTAGACTGGTGTAGCTGATGCGTGAAGAGTCCTGCATACTACTGTTGGTGGTGTAGCTCATGCGAGAAGAATCTTGCAGTAAAGTGTTTCTACTCGAGTCTTGAAGTAGCAAAGAGGACGTGCGAGAAGAGTCCTGCATTCGAGAAGAAGAGATGCGAGAAGAGTCCTGCAGGCTACTGCTGGTGTAGCTCATGCGACTCGAATCTTGCATCAATGTGGTTCTACTGGTAGTAGAGTCTTGTAGTAGTAAAGAAGGCGCCTGACTCATTCGAGAAGAGTCCTGCATGGTGCTGCTGCTGCCGAAACTCATGCGAGAAGAGCTGGATTGTTGTAATTGTCGATTCTTGTTGCGTGCTTGGACTCGTTGTTTGCGCTTGGTGCGTGGTGTGGGAGTTGTGTCAGTTGTATCATGATGCTGATCACGAGACGCTCGTCTTTGTCGATCAGATGTTCGTCGGCTGCCGCGAGCTTCCTCTCCTATCGACGGTGATCGCTTGCGATGTTGTTGTTGGGCATGCCGAGGAGGTGACTTGCGACTAGTTGTTGGTTTGCTGGTACTACTGCCAATGGACTGCTGTTCGGCTCGAGAACTCACACGCTTCGGTCGAGCGGCATGATCGAAGCTCATGGCGGGCATGGAGGCGTGTAGCTGATGATCGGGCTTGACTCCGGGTTTTTGTCGCTTTCGCCTCAGTTTGGTAGGAGCCGCCGTGTTGGTTGTGGTTGTGGCAGAGCGAGACAATGCCGGTGCCTTGTTGCTATTGCGACCTCGTCTGGTGGAAGAAGGCAACGCTGCCATGGCACTTTGGGAGCTGACATCTTCCATGGGTGCAGCTGCGGCAACATCGGTGCTCATGGACTTGGATCGCGTTCGTCTGGGACCTGATTTCGAACGGGTGCGACTGATCGGTCTACTGATGGGAGCCTTATTCTTGACACCTCCTCCTCCTGAAGTAGTACGGGAAAACCTGGGAGCACCTTCCACCGAGTATCTCCCTCGTGTCGGCCTAGGAGACGATCGCTCTGCTGGACGCGGCTCATGGTGTTCCTCATTGGCATCAAACGATAGGTTCATCGTGACATCCAGATCATTGACTACTGGATCTGGAGCTAGCTAGCTAGTACGGTAGCTATGATGATGTGATGATGATCGATCACAACAACTCAATGTAACAATGATGAGGCCGAGTTTTGAGGAGAGAGATGTTCTGGGTACTAGTACTTCGAAGGGCTGCGTGGGATTTAGTACAGGATTGGTACACTTCACTCATCTTTAAATCTGTTAAACAACATTACTTCCCGAGTATACTAATGCCATGAATACCAATCGATCTCTGTCGCGGATGATCTTCGAGCATTGCGGGTCTCGGGCATCTCACAACATTCCGCGATGTTGTGCCATCGGCCATAATACTGAGTAGCTACTGAGGTAGGAAGATGAAGGGCAACAGGGCAGCTACACGTATGTACCAAAAGGCTGATGAGTTCGCCGCCGGGATCATCAGGCCATTCACGAGAGCAGCTCCATGTACTAAAACTAACCACAGCACAAGTCCTCAAAGAGAAGTCCTTCCCCCTTCCCCATTGTCGCCGTTCTAGCTAGTATCTGGTGACTGGGAAGCTCTTATCTACCAGTAGCTCCAAGTACATGTAGTAGCTATGCATAGCTACAGTAGTGGACGAGAGCTCCAGCTCCTCTTGAGCCTCGCTCATCTCTCCCCGCGTCAAGGCATACGCATTCAAGACACCATGGAGCAAGAGGTTGATGACAGCAACCTACTACATGTACTGAGTTGTAGCTAGTAGCAGCCGTGTCCTTCGCTTTGGGGATCTACCAGGTACCGGTATTAATAGCCACCGTATCGGTACCACCTACCTCTACATATCAGTGTGCGCCGATGCCGAGCGCTGTAGTCCAATAACTGAGCCAGCCCTCCGGGCCAGGTTGCTGGTACTTTGTCCAATGATGACTTCAACAATCCCGCCTCCACTGTCTCGGCCACTGTAAACCTATTCAAATCAACGAACAACAAAGCATCAGCATCACCACAAAAGGTCCCAAGTTCCCAGTGATTCAGTCGAGTGACTTGACTGTCTCTCTCAGTCTGCCATAATCCGATCATCCGGATTCCGGATGGCAATTTAGGCCTGGTCGGCACGGATGGTTTCTTCCATCCGTTGTTCTGGTACTCCAGATACCTTTACCGTAGCTGTAAGCTGTAGGCCACAATGGCTTGCAATTCTATCCCTTGTTGGCAGCTAGCTAGTTGTACCTTCTACCGGTAGGTGGCCAGGGACTCTTCTTGGGCTCATCAAGCTACCTGCACCATGGACGAAGGACCCTTGCTGCTACCAGTAGGGTACCGGTATTACCACTGGCTAGCCAGGACGGGATGTTAGAGAGCCAGATCCGACTGTTATTAGCGGCTGTTCCTAACCTCAAGGATAAGATGCCAGTGAATTATGGTTTTGGGTTTGCTGTGGTCTGGCTTTGAAGCAATCAGAACAAGAGCAGACGTCGCAGGGACGGGTGTGAAGGGGGTGGAGCCCCAGCTAGTAGGGAACAGACAAGTTGCTTTCTGTTGAAGCAGCAGCAACGGCCTCCGCATTCTGTACGAAGCAAAGATTGCCTGTACTGATGGCGAGACGTGTAGTTTACAAGCAGTGGACGGCCCACAAAGCAATTTCTAGTTGGCCTGGCATTCTATCCAGCCATGCATGCAGAATCCCTCATTTAAGCATTCATCTACTTTAATATGCTTTTAAAGGAACACCTGGCCTCGTGGTGGTGGCGAACTCAAGATGACATTGTGCGGTTCAGGTTCTGGAGAAGGTGATGAGAGGAGTGAATTCGACAACCTCAAACCAGGACCTTCGTCCTCGAACTTTTTGTCTTTTAGACTTTTTGTCTTCTGGCTAGCTAGCCACCACAGGTAAGTTACAACCAAAGTGCACCTAGACTAGTGAGCAAGGAAGCAAGGCCCAAACCCGCGTTGATGTCCTCGCGCTCAAGTAAGCGCTGCGGTTGCTCGTAGGCTCCGGCACTACCGTTCGGTACGCCTTTCTCTCATAGGTTCTCCCGTAGGTAGACCATATCGATGACAGGGTTCAAGGCAGGTTGGTTGCTAGCTTCGTTCTTCTTCGAATGATTGCTAAGTTTCTCAACCCTACACGCACCAAGTGGGTTGTTCAAACTCCCTTCAGTTCATTCGTTCAAGCAGTAGGTAGTATTTGCACAGTTTGAATGAATTGCTGCGTCATGACGGCCCAAAAGATGGTGGCAAAGAATGCTACCACGGGAAGTGGCCGTAGATAGGTTGTCACGTTCTCCATACCACCTTCGGCTATTGGTTCCTTGGCAGCGCGTGCACTATTAATATTCTCCTTGTTCGAAAGGGGCTCCAATAACGCCACCTCTTGAGAGACTCTCTCTATTTCGTGTGTCCCATCCACAAAAATCACGTCGGCATATGTCATGACATCGCCTTGTTCATTCCAAAATCCTTGGCGTCGACGAGTCGGCACAACTGATCGGTCCACTTGCCCCAATGCTGCCGCGCAAATGACATTTGCAACTATAGACACATCCACGGGTGAGCTAAAGATGGCCTGTTCCAACCAATCTTGCAATGGCGCCACACTCAAATTTCGCAGGGCTTGGTTGGATGTGACGTATGCCTTGGCCAATTTCGACTCCACAAAAGATCGATAGAGTTTCCCCAGCCTAGGGAACCGTTTGCCGCCATACACCACGGATGGACCCAGCACGACGGTATTGTCGTTGCCAAAGGCATCACTGGCCGCAAATTCCGCCCGTCGCTTGCCATCGAGGTATCCTTCGATAGGTCCTTCAAATGCCTTGGCCACTTCGTAGCTTACCGACACAAAGACAAATCGTTCGGCACCGGCGTGTTTTGCCGCTTGACAGATGCGTTCATTGACCAATCCATTTTCAATCCGTAATTTCTCGTCGTCAAAGCCCAACCCAAAGAAACCTTTCCAATGAGGTACGGGTTCCACATTGCCGACCAAACTGACAGCGGCTGTCAGTGGTGGTAATGCGGGTATTGTTTGTGATAACATATCGGCTTGGATCCAATCCACCTGATTGGCATTCCAATGGTTTGGACAGTAATAATCGGGAGGACGACCCGAGCGAGAAATGGATATTACGTGGACATTTTCTTGATAACTCAACTGCTCGCACACGCGGCGTCCGATAAACCCAGATCCTCCAAAGACGGCAATGGTGTTTTTCTGCGATGGAGGACTACTACTACTACTAGAAAGGGCGGACGCGCCACCATGGCTATAGAGGAGGAGGAGGAAGAAACAGACTGCCTGAAACAGACCAGGCTGTCCCAATATTGGAAGGCCAGATGACACTCCCATTGCCGTCGCCATGGTGCTTCCTGGTCAACCTTTGGAAAAGATGGATCTTGGTTTCAGTTTTCGATGATTAGCTCTAGCCCTAATGAATCAAAATGTATCCACGTCTCGCCTTCCCGGTTAGAGACAGATGAAGGCACGATTGGCAAGCCATGTGAGATGTGAGGTCTGAACCGCGCAAAAGATCGTCACAAAAAGCAAATTCAAGAAGAGCAGCAACAATAAACAAGCCAACAAAAACCAAAACAACAACCAAAACCAAAAGTAACGCGACAATGTCTAGTGAGCCTCCGGGGTTGTATTGTGGGACGATGTATAGAGGATCACTCGGAGAGACCAGAAAACAGAGAGAGGCCAGAAAGCAACGAGAAGCCATAAAAGCGAGAATGGCCCAGACCATGAAAGCAGGGCCGGTGCTGCGTGTGTCGTTCAACGACGACCGACAACTTCGACATGCCCTCGCACAGCTGCAGCAGAGACGACAGGGTTGTCCTCCTCCCCATACCGTTCATCTGAAAAGCCGCGGTGGTTTTGCCTCCACCGTCGTCAACAGCAAAGTTTCCAAGCTCCTTGCCGAACTGACACGTGGCCATTCCTACCAAACGCTGGATATTGACATGCCCAGCGTCCTAGTCCGCGACGCTGACATATGGGCTCTTTTGAGGGCATCACAGAAGAGCTTGGTGTCATTGCGGTTGCGCTGCAGTTTCGTGCTTTGGGACGACGACCTCTGTGCTCCAAATAATAAGGGTCTGGGACTGCAGAATCTGACGGCATTGGAGAGTTTCTCGTTGCATCTGGGTGCCGTCAGGGATGCCGATGCCTTGGTAAATGCCGTTGCGGACTGTCCCAAGCTCAAGTCAGTGACATTGGCGCATCGACTCTCCCAAGCAACCTTTCAAAAATTGACCCGCAAACCGACTCTGGAAACATTGGTTTGTTTGGAAAATGGCGTCGTGGACTGGTCTGGCACTAGTAGTAGACCCGATGGCGTCAGCCTGGAGAGTCTCTGTGAAACACTGCAAAGTTCCTCGCTCAAGTCGCTCAAACTCCCGGCTCCTCCTCCCCATGATACTACTGTGGACATAACACCCATTGCCACCATGCTAAAGGAAGACAACAACAATACGTTGGAACATTTGGCATTGACGATTCGCCAGGAACAAGATGTGACAATCCTCGCCCGTGCCGTCCAACACAATCAAGTCTTGAAACGATTGGAGATTCGAGGAACGGGGCTGGTGGATGCAATTGTTTCCTCCTTTTCTCCCGTCCTGCCGGGCAATTTGTGGTTGGAAGAATTCAAATACAATGGGTGCGATGTCGATGCCGATCCCGCCATTTACATGTACGTGACACTCAACAAGGCGGGACGCAAGTATTTGGTGGAACACGGCACCCGCAGCGATTGGGCCAAGGTGCTGATTTCACATCATTGGAACACCACGCTTGTCTTTCACTTGCTCAAAACCAACCCTTCCTTGATCAAGGGAATGGGGCTCGGCTCGGCAATGCAACAGAAGAATCGCCTAATAAATAAATAAGTAGTTAGCAGCGCTAAATCGAATTATGATTATGAGATTGGCTGTTGTTTTGGGAGCTGCTGAAAGGCAAGTCTACGGGTGCGTTCGAGAAATGGATAGGGTGTGACCGTCCGCGGAAACAATGCCCGTATTATTGGCGGCGCCACTTGGCTTCCCGATTCTTTTTGCATGAGTGAGGTGAGGGTGCCCTTGGCTGCCTCTCTGTGAGATCAACTCCTGCTTCGGCGGAAGATTGCTGAAGCACAGGAGGGATTTGCCCACCATATCCGTTGTAAAGATGTTGTTTTTTTTTTGACTTTTTGCAGCACACAGTGCCATCGAGCAAGCGATTGGTTCCACCACGACCGGACCACCTCATAATGACGACGCCCGACCCACAATGTGTTTCTCCAATGCCTTTCGATAGACCGTTTGAAAGGCTTGTGGATTGTCGTACATGAACATGTGGGCACAATGGGGAATTTCGTAATAGTGCAATTGCTGTTTGGGAGCCCATCGTTCGACCATGGCCAGCTCGGTGACGGCACGAACCTGTCGTGTGGAAATGAGATTGTCGTGGGATCCGTGCAAGACCATCATGGGGCATTGCAATTGTGACAGGGCGTGCGTGGGTGGAGCAATGGGAGTTTGAATGGGCGTTAGATTAAAGGCATTGTTGGCGTACAAGGCGGACGCCCGCGATCGATGGGATAGTGCCGCTTCGTGGTAGAGTTGGATGCCTCGATTGGCAGGAAGTCGTGTCGTTTTCATACAGGCCGTTTGTGTGGTTCGTTGAAATATGGTCATGTTGGGATTGTGAACAAACGGTGTCAGCGCCATGTCAGTGTATTGGATGGCATCTTGTTTGGATTGTAGTAATACTCCCGTTGGTTTCAACGTATCATTATCCATCATGGGCGTTCGCATCCCATTGAGTGGCAGCGCACAGACCATCCAGACGGCCGAGACGCGTTCGGGATACAGCAGCGCCAACCAAGCACTGGCACCACCCCCCGTGGAATATCCCATGACCATGACGGGGGTTTGAATTTGTAGGGCATCGAGAAACAATTTCATATCCTCGGCATTTTCCTCGTGACTCCAATTCTCAGAGTGGAGCGAGGATTCCCCGTACCCTCTTGGATCGACGGCCAGGATGCGATGATCGTGAAAGGCATCGTATTGTGCCAATGTGAAGGCCATGAATTTGGAGTCGCAGGCATATCCCGGTATCAACAGCAGAGTGTGCTTGGGATGGGTTGCTGTGCTGCGAGATGACGACCAATCCACGTAACTCAATGTCTCGCCATTGGGCAAATCCACTCGTTGGCGTGGGAAGTTGGCTTCCAAATCTTCATAAGTCGTCATGAATCTCCTTCTCGGTAGCCTTCTTGTATATGTAGTAGTAATAGTGTCGTGGAGGACCGGTCGGACTGTTCTGGAGGCTGCCAGTGGGCTGCAAGTACGGCCAAGGAGGATCCGGAGCGCCATGGTTGCAAAATGGGTGGCTTGAAGAAAAATGAGGCAGAAATGACCCCACTCAGGCTCAAATGCCCCACATGTCACTTCGAATGACTCAACCCAACTGACCGTTGCCACACCCAGCCCATAATGCAAGTGATCTGGACGTATCTATCTCTGAAGCTGCCATTGTCGTAATTGTTCAACCAAAACAAAGCCGCAAACACAGTGTTGGATGTCTCCTTGAATCTGGAATGAATCCAGTCTGCATCGACGTGCACACTCGCCTGACCCAACGACAACCATGAACAACAGCCACGCTTCCACCACCAAGAAGAAGAATGACAGTACAATATTTTGTGGGGGTCAAAAAAGAATAGGAGGTCGAGTTGGTCTTACCATGAGTGGACTGGTCTGTTTCTTGCTACACACGCTCTTCCAACATAAACAAGTGATCTCTCTTTTCCATCCACATCAAAGCAATCTTTTGGACACGGAAACCCTCGACCGACAGCTCCAGCAAGAATCACTGGAAGAAAACACTGCCAAACGGCGGCAAGAACCAGACGGGATGACACGGCACACAAAACAACAGGGGGGCAATGTCACACAAAGTGCTGAGAAAACAGCATTTTCATTGGAGGACCGATACCCCCGACCAGTAGACTCCATGCAGCACGACAAAGAAATGAAAGAAGAAGAACCCACGACAAGCAAACAACAAAAACCACAATTGCCACTATCAATGGATGCAGAACCAACCAACAACATACTACCAGAGCCACAATCTGCAATACTACCCAAAAAGAAAAGACCATCCAATAAGCACAAGCCGATTCCGGATCTCCATGCCGACCTGCCCATTTATAAGACAACGTCTCCCTACGCGTACGTGTTGATGTGTTGGTCGGTCAATCCCCAACTGTCCCAATCGTATCGGGCATATCTGGCCAACATGGCCATTACGGCAAAAGTACTACGAACCCATGGTTCCACGGCCGATATTGTGGCCGTGTTTCGGTTGGACAATGCTACGGAAACGCTCCCTCGACAAGATGAAGCCTTGCTGCATGCCATGAACATTTCCATTCGCTATTTGCCACAAGAAACACCCAACTTTAATCGAAGAAAGGGTACCAAGTTCCTGCACAAATTTTACACCTTTGGCATGACCGAATATCGACGAGTCTTGTTTTTGGATGGGGATATACTCCCCAAGGCCAATTTGGATTACATGTTTGAACTGTCCGATGGAGGCCCCAATGCCATGTTCAAACCCAATGTGATACTCGCTGGTGTTGTGGAACCTTGTAATACTGGATTCTTTGTGGTGGAGCCCACAAAGGATGCCTACAATCAGGCACAGCACTTGATTAGATCCCACATTCGAAAAACTACCATGAAGAACTTTGATATGGAGGCGGGCTGGGGACAGCCATTTGTGAATGGGGACCACTGGGAAAACAATATGGAAACGGGTGTAAAGTGGGATTTTGTAAGTGACTACAAAGATTTAGTTGTGTGATTGGATTGGTCCCTTGTACACATCCTCTAACTCACTCATCTGTGACAACCATGCTATTCAGCTAAATGCATGGTCGGATCAAGGACTCCACTACCACATGACAAAATATGTCATGCAAAATGTGACACAGATCCTTTCTCGCAAAATTATCAATTTTGGGCGTGCACCTAATAATGGATCCACCATTGAAGAAAAGGTAATCACAGTGACATCTCGATGGGATAGTCCGTTAAAGGAATACTCCAAACCATCCTATAAAACGGGTCCATCGCTCTGCAAGAAATGGACTGGAAATCATCATGCCACCGAAAAATGGCCTGGATGTGTTCCTCCATATTCCGACTTTGATCACTACTCGGGGAAAACAAAATTTTGGCACAAACCAGTACCAGAGGATGTTTGGGATGACATGCCGAGGCAACCAAAATCAATGATACATTTGTGGTACCAGCTTTTGTACAAGCTTAAGAAAGAGGATGGCTTGGACATTCAACCTATTCTTCAAGCCATTAATGCAGAAACGGATTGGGACAAGGCACTGCTTAGTGGCCCTGTGGAAGCAAAATAGTATAAGCTAACTTGCAATGGTTATCTCCAAGTAAGTTACAATTCCTGTGTCCACTATAGTCATACTTTTAGATAGCAACTAACACAACATCAAGATTCTACTAGCTAGTCTAGAGTAGCGGCGTTCTTTCCGAAACTCTTCTCGCAGTACAGTACGCTGGCTTCTATAGGACGAATGCGGTCATTCATCGCAAAATGGCATTGAATGACCTCAATCAAGAAGGCAAAAGACCTTCCCAAGATCCAATAAAATTCATCGCTCGGACAAGTCAACCTAGCAACCATCATTACAAGTTACAAGCAAGCACAAAAGCAAACCTCTGAACACAACTTGACTACCTACGGTAACTGGAATCGAATCCAGGAACACGGAAACCAAGTTGACCCATACACTTCTCCCCTCAAAAGTACAGCGCTGCGCAACCATGGACAACAACAGCTCCACCCCACTCCGCTCCCCAAAGAAGGAGGATGACGAGACACGTGGTGTGGAGCGAAAAATGGGACGAGCAAGGTTGACGATTGGAGCATTTCTTTGTTTCTTGGTGGGCACTCTCTTTCAAAACACGCAAGTGACGTCTGTCTTTAATCCAAGGAACAGCCATGATCAGGACACGGAAACCACCATCGACGAGCAGCTGTCCAAGCTTCAGGCAGAGTCACGGCGATCACTGGAAGAACACACAAAGCTGCAGGAAAAAGATTTTGTTCAGCTGAAACATCACATGAAACTGCAACTTGGTAATGTCTCGCATGCATCCGAGCAGGCGGCACTGTCATGGGAAGAACGATACTCCAAACTGCAACAATCCCTGGACTCCATGAAGAAGCAACATGACAAGGAAATGGCAGCATTGAAAGAAGAGCTAAAGAACTCTGCTAATAGGGAGCAATTAAAACTGAAGCCACAATCTGCAGCATTCAAGACAAGAACAACAACAACAGGATGGTCCCAACAACTGTCCAATATTGATCATCATGCAACATTGAAAACCTATCCGACGACATCACCATATGCCTATGTGTTGATGTGTTGGTCCGTAAATCCAAGAAAGTCTTACTCGTACAGGGGCTATATTGCAAACATGGCCATCACAGCAAAAATACTGCGGACCCATGGCTCCACTGCCGATATTGTGGCTGTTTTCCGGCTGGATAATTCTGTCATCCATGAAACCCTCCCACAGGAAGATGAAAATTTGTTGCGTGCCATGAACATTTCCATCCGCTACTTGCCACAAGAAACACCCGATTTCAGCCGGAGGCGGTACAGCATGTTCTTTCACAAATTCTATGCCTTTGGCATGACAGAATACAGAAGAGTCTTCTTTCTGGATGGCGATATCATGCCCATGACCAATTTGGATTACATGTTTCAACTTTCGGATGATGATGGCCCCAATGCCATGTTCAAACCAAATGTGATTATAGCGGGTATCATGGAGCCTTGCAATACTGGTTTCTTTATTGTGGAACCTACCAAGGAAGCATACAATCATGCACAGAACTTGATTCGGGCCAACTGGGCAACAGCTGGACTTTTGAAAGAATTTGATATGCAGAATGGCTGGGGACATCCATTTGTGAATGGAGACCATTGGGAAAACAACCTTGAAACTGGTGTAAAGTGGGATTTCGTAAGTGCTTTGACATTGCTTTGGTTGCTTGTGCACAACATTCGCTGACTAACCTACCTCCATGGAAACCATATGATAGATGAATGGATGGTCGGATCAAGGCCTCCACTACCACTTGACAAAATATGTGATGCAAAATGTGACACAAATTTTCTCTCGCAAAATCGTCAATTGGGGGCGTGCCTCCAATGGATCAACCATTGAAGAAAAGGTGATTCCAGTTACATCTCGACAGGATAGTCCTCTCAGAAACTATTCCACATCACCCTACAAAATTGATCCATGGTTCTGCAAGAAATGGACTGGATTTCATGCTAAGGACAAAGAAAAAATGCCCTGGCCAGGATGTGTCCCGCCATACTCAGACTTTGATCACTACTCGGGGACCAGGAAAGTCTGGCACATTCCTGTCCCAGACGATGTTTGGGATGACATGCCAAACCAACCAAAAACAACAATGCATTTGTGGTACCAACTATTATACAAGCTCAAGGAAGAGGATGGCTTGGACATTCAGCCTCTTCTTCAAGCTATTGATAAGGCAGCGGATTGGGACAAGATACTGCTTGCAGGCCCTTCCAAAGCATAGTAGAATTGTTGATCTAGCTAGCCTGCAGCGGACCATCGACAAACTACAAGTAGAGACTAGGACAACCCAGCTTCGGTTACTCGAATCGTAGAGAGGACACCGAACGAGTCTCTGCAACGAAAACAGCAGCTTCGTGCGAGACATATCGTATCATGATACGGTTTGCTGGATTATGGCAACCCCGGGCCCTGCCAGCAGGCAACCACAAGAGTGTACATGAAAACCCATGAGACAATGAAAGCCTTGCCACACAAAGCGATACTCGATGGCTTCCTTTGTGGTACTTATGCAGACGCCGTCTCTATCAGCTAGCTAGCGACACCGCAACCGGGACATCCCGCCTCTTCTTCCATTGGAGCCCAAACTGCCGTTCATATTTAGCTTCCAAGGCTTCCACACGTACAGTTGCGCCCCATCCATTGTAGCGATCGATGGCCTTTTCCGCGTGTTCTTTGGCTCGGTCCAGTTCAGACCGATCGAAAAGAAAAGCGGCAAATCGCTCGTGTGCAAGCGCTTCGTGGCTGACAAAGCCACGGCCGCTACAAAAGAGGAGGGCGATTTCAAAGTTCTGTCTCGCGTTGAAGCCGTCATTGGAAAGGACTGCCATTTCAGCTGCCAGCAGTGCTTCGTAGTGAATCACATTGGGGTTCCCTTGAGCTTTCCACTTCTGGATCTTGGCGTAGAACTTTTTACCGATGGACAAGAATTTCTTTGACTCGGAACCGCGTGTGGATTGAGCCTGAACAAGGGCAGACAATGCAATCTGCATGGCCGTTGCAGGAATAATCCCAAGTCCCGGGGTTAGCTTGCCCATCAGGTCTTTGTCGAAACCGCTTCGCTCCGCTGCATACAGAAGTTCACCATAGTCTGCCAACCAAAAGGCCAACAGAAGGCGGAAACGATCTTCATTCATTTGAACATGCTTCCGAGACTCTGCACTGACTTCAAGCCGACTTGTATCTACCACGATATCCGCTCCGATGCCCATCAAGCTCTGGGCTATCTTCCACAAGGACCTAGTGGTCCATGCTATCACGTGCTGTGATGTCTCCTCGATGATTGCCACATAATTTCTAAAGTAGGCATTGAGCGTCGCAAGCGGAACTGTCCCTGGTGGATTTTGCAGGAAAAGACGAAACGATTGAGAAGACATGCCAATGCGCACAGCCTTAGAAGGCTTTTCCTTCACACACCTGTGAATAAACCGATCTCCAAATACTGAAAGGCACACCAACCGGCGCTTTCAGTATCTCCCGCGGCCTGGGAAGGAAGCAAAATGCAAATTTAGCCGTTCCAAAGCAGGGAACCAACAACCTGCACATTCTTCGGTTCTTACGAGTCCGGCTTGATATCCTTGCAGGAAAGGTTGGCTTGACCATTCCCAACATTTCCTGTGATGATAAATGAAGTCGTGGCAGAGCAGAGTTACCCGTGCTCGGACCGCCTTGGACTCGTTGATCTTATCAAGAAGGTCGTTCGCTAGATCTGCGTACGTTAGGCCCCCTTCGTAATCACCTAGGTTGACGAACAAGAAACCAACCAAGCTCAAGAAGACAGGGGCGTACTTGTGGAGCCCATAGGCCACCGTTTCCTGGTACCCTCTCATAACAAGCAAAGGAAGAAGACTTTGGTCAACTTGATATGCCGATGTTGTCATTTCATCCAGGAGTTTGAACACCCAGAGCTTCCCAGGATCTGTAAGGTTTCTCAACTTGCTTATTTTGTCCAGGGAACTCTTCATTGCAATTCTTGTCCAAATGACATTGCCCATGATGTGCATCATTCGCGCCGTCTTCGCGAACTTGATATTCATTTGTTTCAGGAGCTCTAAGCCAAGCTCAAGAGCTTCCTTGTTCTGCCAACGGGCACCCATAGAGCCCAAGATGGCATTGTATGCTCGGCGCTTTTCAACAACGGACCCCCCATGTTCAATAACGGCGTCACAGCATATTTTCATCTCTCTATATCTGCCGCCAATGAAGAGGACTTCTGCCGCTGTGCTGTAGAGATCCAAACTGAGCTCATAATGTGTCTCCCAATGGCGAAGTGGTAGCATCTTCACTCCTCGTGCCAGGTATGCTGCGGATTGGTTGAAGGAAGCCAATGAGGAACACCTCTGGCCAGCCTTCAGATAGACATTCGCCAGTCGTATTCGCCTAGTTTCTTGTACGTCCGGGATCGACTTCGTATCACCGAATAAGTTGGCAACAGTGAATAGATGTTTCTCCAATGTCTCTTCATCGAGCGTGTCCAATAGCACTAATCCGAGATGCCATCTCTGCTGGCGCAATGCGGCCGGTTCGATCAAGCTTATTGCCGCCTCTTGAATGCGGTCGTGCTCGAATGCAAACGTACCATCTCTCCGTCTGTAGATGAACCCTTGCTTCTCCAAGCATTTCAAGAATCTCGAAGGCGTTGGTATCTCGTCCTTCTTTGCAGTGAATCCATGGAGCATCAGTAGCTCGACTAGACCAACTTCGAAGGCACGCCCCGAGGACGCCAGCAATGGGAGAAGCGTTCGGATGCCGGGCGGAAGCCTGCGTAGGTTGTTGATGACAAAATCCACGGCTTCTTGTGTGGCCATGGCCCTGTCATTGATCGTGTCAATGTTCCAGTTCCAGCTTTGAGTTCCAAGATCAAACACCAATAGGCCACTCTTCACGAGCTCCCTGGTGAACTGTACTATATAGAACGAATTCCCTAGAGTTTTGCGGTGTATGCACTCTGCCAGTGCCTCGGTTTCGTCGTAGGAACAGGTGAATAGGTCTCCGAGCATTTCTGCAATGTCTCGAGCCTCCATAGGAGTCAGTGATATCTCGGTCAGCCTGTTATTGCTGCCCGATGTGTTGTCGCCAGTATCGGTTGTCTTGGTTTCAGCGTTCAGCTTGTCGATTCGTTCTTGAAGCTTGCGAATGGTTGTGGTCAGGGTGTGCTCTTGTTCGTCTCCTTCTGTCTTTGTGAAACTGCGGTAGATCCCCCCCACCATCATTGTGGGTATGGTGACGTCGGATACTAAGGATTGTATCAGGTCCAAAGATGTCTCGTCAGCCCATTGAATATCATCGAGGCAAAGCACGATGGGTCCAAAGCTGGACAAAGCCCTCATGAAACCACGAAAGGCCCAGTCCAACTTGTACCTTCGTTCCTTATAGTCATCAGACGTTACTTCCGCTGCCTCAGATTCGGCTGCCTCTGCTGTTGGATGCAGGCTTCCTATTTGAAGAATGAGTTTGAGAGCTGGCATAAATGGATGGAGCAAAGAGGCATCTGTACCCAGTTCCTCTAGAAGCCTGGTCCTGAGTTTCTCAAACGAAAAGTTCCAAAATGCAGTGACGGCTGCGGTGTCTTCTTGATTCTCCGGCTCTGATGTCGAATTGGTCAGGGTGCTTCCCTCTGTCAGAGGAGCTGTTGCATTGATGGGAGTGTCTTCTTGCTCTTTTCCGCCTGAATCACTACTGGCAGTGGTTGGTGGGGATGGCCCAGAATTGCTGTCTGAATCTTTGGAAGAACCTATAGAGGCTGTTTCTCTCAGGAATCTGTATTCCAGCAATGTTTGACAGATATCTTGGCAAGCTTCGGCAATGCCAGCAGACTGCTGGCTGTGAAAGGTATCAGGTGGGGTGGGTGTGGTCGGTGTTTGTTCATCAGTGGTATCAGTGATTGTCGTGTTGTTGCCAATAATGACTGGGGTGCGAGTTAGCTCGAATTTCCCAAACAGAAAGAATCCTCCTGCTCGGGCTGCAGGCATTTGAAGTGCTGTCTTGACAAGAGATGTCTTTCCACTACCCGCTTCCCCACTGATCATGACAACCTGTCGACTAGAGTCATTTTGAATGCAGGAGTCCAGGGAATCGTGCAGGATTTGGATCTCTTTATCCCGGCCGTAAAGACCATTGGAATGCCAGTCCAATTTGCTGATCGTCGCCTCAATAACAGAGACTAAACCCTCGTATTGCTCAGATCTCTCCCATGTATCTTCGTCCTTGGCACCATGCAGGTAGTGATCCGAGATTGCCTCATATACAGAGGTAGAGTCACCAGTGACAGCGGATACTTCCGCTTGACTCTCAAGATAGAGATCCATCTTTCTCTTTATTCAGTTTCATGAGCTTTGCGTGCAGAGATTGTGTCTACATCACCCCCGTTTTATGTCTGTTGTAATGAGGCTTTTCTCATGAGCCAATGATCGAGAATGCAGCGAGAATCTCAATCGCAGTCAAGGCTCCAAGACGTTGTGACGTCTTGGCCGTCATTCGAGTTCAAGGTTTTTGCGTTCGGAAGATAACAGGGCAAGCCTGCGTCATATTCGACAAACTGGACGATGAGGTAACAAAGCTTCTCTAGACTGCTGAGTGCTGAGGCCCCCAGTACATGTAGCTAGCTAGATGCCCGAGGCGTCCTCGATCTCTTCCGCAAGTCTTATACTCCTTTGATAGTCAAGGTTGCGGCCTGTGGATCTTACCGTCACTCAAGTTCTAGCTCTCCTGACGGAATGAAACAGGGCAAGCCTGTGCCATACGGTACCGGTACGGTATTCGACGGAGGGCAAGACCTCGCTGCCATGGTGGCAGTCCATTGCATGCTTCTGCCTCCGTCTGCTGTAATGTTGCTGTTGCTGTTCCAACAAGGCCGTCAGTGTCATTTGTTGCTTCTGCTGATAGCCCATCGCCTTTGCTTCTCTCATCATGTTCTAGCTAGTAGGCTCATATCTATAAGCAGGATGATCCGACTACTTGGCTCTACCAGTGCACACTTTCTCCTTCTGCTTAAATTGCGACCGAAGTGGATCTTCAAACCTTCTGTAGTTATCTAAAAAGGGGTAAGGAGGCTGAGAATGCAAACGTTGATCTGATCCACATGTAATACCAATGCTTTAGTTTAAAACATGAAAGTGTGATGAGACAACAAATAGACAGAGCAGCTGAGCATTACAAGTTGATGACAAAGGCTTTTGTAGGTAAATGCAGATGCATTAGTGTGATCAACTCAGCGAAGGCTGGTAAAGGAGACCTCTCTTGCAATCCCTAATTTGAAGATGCACATCACAATGAACGCAAACGCAAAAACCAAAGACTGCACAGGTAGCATCAGCATGGATTCCATGATCCAAAGCTATGATACCAAAGATACCAAGCAGACAAAACCACCTTTTCAGCACACTGGGATGATTGGCAGCATGTTCATAGAAGCCTTTCCAGAGATCTAGACCACCAGGGATGCCATCATCAGAATACTTCACACAGTAGTCTCCATTTGATGACTGCAGTAAAGTCGGAAGGGGGCAACCCCTACATGTTGGGCAGCATTGCTGTAGTGACCAAACCAACACTTGGCTCCATCATAGTCTGTGTATGTGGAGACCAAAAACATCCCATTCACAACAATTTTCCCACTGGGAGACAAAGGCGACATGCGCCCTTTGTGTGTGACAGTATCAACGTCAGTGACCTGTTGTCCATTACACCCTTCTAAGATATCTCCAACTTTGACTTCATCTGCTCTGATTGGAGCTGGCTTGCCTTGCACATACACAAAGTGGCTGGCAGTGATCTCAAGCAGTGGTGGGGAAGCATGAAAGGCATCCTCAGAAAATGAAATCGTCAAGTATTCTGTTGTTGAGCGTGTGTCATAATGGCCCATGGCATAGACTCGCTCATAGTGGTTGTTGGAGTCCCTGTTGGTCAATACTGCGCACCTTCAAATCTCGCAAAGCAACTGGTCCTATGTCTTTCACTTCAACAGTGGTGGCAGGTGAAAAGCAGGAGCCCGGTTGAGGTGCTGGTGCTGGTGCTGGTGCTGGTGCTGGTTGAGGATCAGGTGGTTGTGTTGGTGTGTCAGGACAAGGATCACCCACATTGGTGCATGGGCAACTGTTTGCCGCACACATCACTCCACAGTCTATCATCAGAGACATAGAAACACAAAACCCATCTGGAACTGTGCCACTGAGCTGAATATCATAAAGCAAAATCTTTCTAGGCTTTTCATTTGACTGAGCTCTGTAGGAATAGTTCCAGTGAGCTGGTTAGCATGCAACCCCAAGTTTTGAAGTGCAGTGAGAGATCCAAGATGAAGAGGAATGGCGCTAGTTAGTTGGCCACGTGCCATATAAATATGTTTCAGTTTGGTCAGAGATCCAAGCTCGGTGGGAATTGGGCCAGACAGTTCATTGGAGCCCATTTCCAAGCTATTTAGCTCAGTAAGAAGGCTAAGCTCCGTGGGGATTGGGCCCGTCAAAAAATTGAGACCCAACCTCAAGGTATTTAAGTCTGTCAAAGACCCAAGTCGCGTAGGGACTGGACCTGTAAAACGATTGGAATCCAACGGCAAAGAAGTCATTGCTGTAATGGATTCAAGATGGGTTGGGAGGCTTCCAGTCAGAAGATTTGAAAACATATCCAGATCCTCTAGCTCTGTCCAAGCTTCAAGTTCATCTGCAGGTATCTGACCTGTCAATTGATTGGAATTCAAACCCAGCCTCTTGAGGTCTGTGAGCAGACCAAGGGCTGGAGGAATTTGGCCAGTGATCTGGTTTTCCGACAAGCTCAGCTGACCAAGCTCTGTCAGCTGACCAAGCTCTTCGAGGATTGGACCTGACAGTTCATTGGAAAACAAATACAAGGTAAAGAGCCCAGTCAGTAGACCGAGTTCCGTTGGGAGTGGACCTGTCAAATTGTTGCTACCAAATGACAAGAGGTGAAGCCAGGTAAGAAGGCCAACTTCTGTGGGGAGCAGGCCTGTCAGTTCATTGGCAGGTAAGCTTGGTAAGTAGACCAACTTCTGTGGGGATTGGACCAGTAATGAAACCCATCTAGCCTTTTCGTGCTGTCGATGTTGTAGATTTGGCCAAAGATTTCCACCTCTGTGACAGATCCACTTGGATTGGCAGAAGGTGAGGCTGTCCACAGTTGTGTTGGTGATACGCTGACCGAAGGTTGAGATGATGGAGAAACTGTTGGTGGTTCTGTTGCTCTTTCACTTGGACTGAGAGAAGGCAAAGCTGATGGAGAAACCGATGGAGTATGTGATGGTGATGCACTTGAACTGAGTGATACACTTGGACTGATTGAAGGTGAAACTGACGGAGAAGCTGTTAGTGGACAAGGATCATCGTAAACACCATACACATTGGTGCATGCACAACTGTTGGCAGCACAGGTCACTCCTCAGTCTACATACATAGTCCCAGAGACACAAAGTCCATCTGGGACTGTTCCACTCAGCTGATTATCCTGCAAATATGCTTCTCGAAGGTTTGTCATTGAGCTAAGCTCATTTGGAATAGTACCACTCAGTTGATTTGAATTTAACCTCAAAGTTGACACTGAAGTCATCATTCCCAGATGAGTTGGAATGTTCCCAGTCAAGCCATTGTGGTTCAACCCAAAGAAACTCATTGCTGTCAGAGATCCAAAAGTACTTGGAATGGTCCCAGTCAGTTGGTTACCAGCAAGATTCAAAGAAGTGAGCCTGGTAAGTTGACCAAGCTCTGAGGGGATTGAAAGTGTAAACATGTTGGATTCCAACCCCAATGAAGTCACCATTGTCAGAGATCCCAGCTGGGTGGGGATTGTATCTGACAGCTGATTAACCCACACCCAAAGAACTGTCAACAATGTCAATGCCTGAAGCTCTGAAGGTATTCGGCCCGTCAGGTGAATCTGTCTTGGACTCTGTGGAGTTCCCGTTGGCAATTGAGTTGGTGTCTCTGTGGGTGACCTGCTTGGGGCCAGAGATGGCTCTGTTGGGGATTCTGTTGGAGGTGATTGTGTTGGGAGGTTGGTGGGTGATTCAATAGGTGATGTAGTTGGCAATGCTGGACAAGGAACACTTTCATCTACTCTTATACATGGACAGTTGGTTGCAGCACATGTTACACCACAACCCACTGACAGAGTTTGGGAAACAAAAATCCCTTCGGGGACCGTGCCCGTGAGCTGATTCATCCTTCCAAATGCACCTCTTTAAGGTTTGTCAATTGGTTTAGCTCTGTTGGAAGTTCCTGTTAATTCCGTTGTCTCGGTCAGTTGTCGCGCCCTTTGACTCTTCTAGCTATAGCTATAGCTAAGATATCAACATGTTTTGGCAGGCAGACTGGGCACGATCTGTACAGTACTAGTACTAGTGCTATGTGGCAATCGGTCATTGGGGACAAGGCTCTCATTCTTTGCACCATTGGCTGCATCGCAAAGATGCAAAAGCACAGTCATCCTCTTCCTCCGGGATATCTCTTTCGTTTGTAGCTGGTATACGTCAAATGGCACTGAAAATAGAACAACTTAGTAGGTGGCTTTGTAACGCAGGATCAGGGCACCAAAGCCCCGAAACATGACGAAGAGACCCAGCAAGGCCAACCAATACCACCATGTGCTGTCTTTGTCGACATTGTTTGCAGCCAAGACCGCTGCGCAATTGGCGGCGGCATCACCCGGTTCGCAGTCCGCAAACTCGTAGGCAAAGCCCAGTCGAGCGGCATACGTCAAGGAGCATACGTACTGTGCCCACGAAACCCAACTCGGAATCAATTCAATGGCAATAAAGAGTCCCGAGAAGAAAAACTGTGGAACGACCACAAGCGTGAATAGAGTCAATGCATTTTGGACATCATCAAAACAGGCTCCCAGCATCACGGCAACCGCTGTGGCTGTCAATGACAGAGCATACGTGATGGCAAAGAGCTGCCCAAAGCTCATTTGAAAGCCCATCATCCAGTAAATAACCAATGCCTGCGAGAGAGTTGCGATGAGTGTGTTGAACATTTCTCTCCAAAGCTTGGATAGAAAGTAAGGAATGACCGTGTAGTGGTCCGTGGAGAATTCCCGAAGAAAGACGGGCCGATCTTTGCTGAAGGTCAACATGGCGGGGTTGCTTTGCCCTGATTGTATACAAGAAGGTCGGCCTGTTAGGATTCCCGCTACCACAATGGTAACATCGTACCAAACAAACCTCAACTTACCCATCATTGTCGAAATCAACACATTGACCACTGCCCCGAGTTGAGATTGAATCACCTACGGTATTAGCAGCAATGGGACGTCACAAGCGTGAGTTTCAACAGCTAGAGCGCAATGCCCCGCAGATACTTGTACATTGGATCACTCCATACAATTGAGTATTGAGTCACGTACTGTGTACTCGGACCGATCCTGGCGACCAATATCAAAAAAGATGACTCCAAAGATCAAGGACAAGATTCCCGTCACGACGATACTGATGACGATAAAGGCCGGATTTCGACGAAGGTCGGCCATTTCCCGGTTCTGCAACATGACAAACTCGGTCCACATGGACACGTGTTCGTCTTGTGGAGTTTCCACCGTTTCAGCAGCATCCTCCTTTCTAGCAGCGAGTAGTAGATTGTCGGGGGCACTTGCAAAAAAGTGTGCCTTTTCCAATTCTTCCAATGTGATCCCTTGCGCGATATCAATGACCCAATCGGCGGGATTATATTGATTGGGCACGGGATATCCGTATTGCTCAAAATCGCGTGCCAAGTTGGCCACTTCTCCCTGATGCATGACGCGGCCCTTGTTGAGCAGAATGAGTCGATCAAATGTACCAAAAATGTTGGAGGAGGGTTGATGGATGGTAAAGAGTACCGTACTGCCGTGATGTGCAACTCGGCTCAACAATTTCATGACTTGTGCGGCGGCAAAGGAATCCAAACCGGATGTTGGTTCGTCCTGTCACCATCCAAAACCGAAACTGGGGTTAGTCCATGGACATGGAAAGAGTAACATCACTCGACTGATACAAACACAGCACATCATACAATCTCTACACTACTTACCAAAAAGATCAGGGTCGGTTTGGCCACCAACTCGACTCCAATCGAGACGCGTCGTTTTTCTCCTCCCGAAATCCCCTTGTTGAATCCACCCCCAATTAGTGTATCGGCAGCATCGTCCAATCCCAATTCGGTCAAAATGGCATTGACAATTTCGGTGCATTCCTCGTCGGATACTCGTTTTGGCAATCGCAATCGGGCACTGAAATAAATGGCTTCCCGAGGCGTACTGGATTCCTGCAATGCATCTTCTTGCGAGACGTAGGCAATCAATTTGCGTTGATCTCGTTGGGTGGGATCAAAGCGCGCGCCACCGAGGAAAATGTCTCCTTCCGACCGCAACTTGCCACTGCTGGGAATGCGACCTGCTAATGTTTGAAAGAGACTGGTTTCTGTATGTACAACAAACAAACAAATGAATGAATGACAAATGAGAGATGATGTCATTGGTTGTTTATGATATACCCAAACGAACCAATATTGGCCCAACTTACTGCCGGCCCCGGAAGCTCCCATGATGGCTGTGGTTTTTCCAGCTTCTGCTTTGCCCCAGACATCCTTTTGAAGTCAGATGAGAAGGCAAAAAGTGTCAGTATTCTTCAGTACTTGCTTGTAGTGGAGATTCTTCGGCAACAGAAAACATGCACTTTCACACTCTTACCTTGAGAATGTGCAGCTTGGTGTCGCCTCCATTTTTCTTTTCCAACAGTCTCAAGCCCACACCACTCCAGACAAGATCTTGTCCCACCAGGGAGTAAGCATCCTTGCTGCTGCTGTCACTGGTCGTCGCAACCGTTTCTTGGGGTCGGACGGAAATAATATTCTTGTCCACATTCGTATTATTGGATTCCATGGCTTCCATCAACTCATCCACATCCACTTCTCCACTCATCTCTTTCTTCGATATCGTCATCTTGCTTGGTCTCTTTTTTCTCAATTTCAGTTGCTTGGTTTGTGTTGGATTGTGTTGGATCTGTGTTGATGGAAAGGATCAGCAGGTAGGTGAGTGAGATGAGATGATGCCGACCAGTCTACCGGTACATGTGGTGGCCAAGCAAGAAGAATAATGAGAGTTGATTGCTCTCGAGTTTCGTTTGTCACGTTGGTTCACAAGACTTGTTCTTTCGTTCTTCATCCAGTGAAGTCCCAGACAGAGCCTGAGCCACGTGTTGAATAAGTTATGACGTCATGCTTCCAGTGAGAAGCCTTTTTAAAATATCTGTGACTGATGATCACTCATGATTGATTATTGGATCTACAGTTTAGCCGAAAGATACAACGGCCAACAACGCCATGGCCACGGTGCTTGGACCAAGGTTTTGCTCAGGCAAAGAAGACCCCAAAGCACTACCAGTACTGTGATGCAACATGCTGAGACGGACCCCCAAGTCGGCTTCCAAGCCTGTACCGGTAGTAGTGGATACCACCACTAACCAATCCCCACCAAAAGTTCGACCCCCACGTCCATTCCAAAAACGAAACAAACTATTGGCCATTTGCTTGGTGACAATCCTGTGTGTGACAACTCTTGTACTGTTGTTGATCCATCTGGTGGTGTTTCCCCGCTATCACTTTCGACCTCCGTCGTTACTCTACCAACACTCGCAATCTGACGACTATGAATGCCGTGGCTGGCATACCACCTCTCCCGATTGGTCCTTGCTGACGCTACGCTATCAACGACGGACTCTGGGACGGGTGTTAAGACCCCTGCGATACCTTCGACATGTTTTGGGTGTAGCCAGTGCCGGCTGTCACGACAAAATCGAAGGCGATGAAATGGGATATTGTGAGGTGGTGCACCAGGGAACAACCATGCGAGTGTTGGATCAATCGTCTTCTGTTTATTCCTATCAAAATCCCTTTCTCTATACTCGCTTGCGGCCCTTTTGGCAATGTTCCATGGTGGCGGACTTTGTCACGTACAAGGAACAAATAATAAAACAACCACTGGAACCCGCCAATCCACCGTTGTACGAAAGGACCATGCACGCCAAAGCAACACCACAAGGAAGAGGAATCATTATTGGACTCAACCCCCAACAACTGCCCTCCATTTACAGCCTGGTGCGATTGTTGCGACACGAACTAAACTGCCAACTTCCCATTGAACTTTGGGCACAGGGAGGAGAAGATGGAATTGGGATGCATACCTATTCCATGCATGATGGGGCATTGCTGGAAGCACTGTTGCGGCAATCGAATGTGGTCTTGCAGACTCATTGGGACTATCGCTACGAATACTCCCGCACTCGACCCTACGGACTGGCCCATAGTTCCTTTGAAGAAGTCTTGATTTTAAATGGCGACACGTTTCCACTCCGCGATCCCTCCTTTTTGTTCGAGATACCGCAGTACCAAGAAACGGGGGCATTGTTCTGGAAGGATGTCGCGTGGTCGGATGATAGTGAAACAACTGGTGCTGGCACCCTACACCCACTGCTCTGGGAGTTGCTCGGTATCCCAAAAGAGCATCCCATTCGGAATGAAATGGAATTGAGTAGTGGACAAATGGTCATTCATCGACGGAAATGTGAAACACCCATCCAGTTACTCCTCTTTTTCGCCCAAACCTTTTCGAAATGGTTCCGGCCACTGCAATTGCTCTACGGCGATAAGGACCTCTATCGGTTGGCCTGGAGACTCACTCAATCACCATTTCATTACGTGGAACAACCACCCGCTCTGGTCCAGACATCAACGACGTCTTGGAGGTCACAAACGGAATGGTATGGACTCAAACTGAAATCCTGTGCACAGACACTGGCCATGGCAGACCCTCAAACCGGCAACCCGCTATTCTTGCAGTACAAGGGAGGCCCCATTCTCAACACTACAACTGCGTTGTGGGGTGATACGGTGACAGTCTTTGAGGGGACTACTGCGTTGGAAACACAATACAAGGTGGGAATGTCGTGGTTTTGGCAAAATGGACAGCAACCACCCGTCAATGGAGTCTGGATGGACGACGCACAACGGTGCTACTATACCCATCCACAATCGTCGTTTCGGAACCAGTTTCAAGAGCGATCCCTGCGGGACACGACACGGGCTGCGGAGAAGGTGGAACAAGCGGTCCTACGGTATACGAAGGAAGCTCTGGAACTGCAGAGCCAAAAGAAGACAAAGACGGACAGCTAGCTAGCGAGCAGCTAGGTGCTGAGGAAGAATATTATTCTTGCAGCCTGAAACGAACTACTGCTGACCTACCGTACGATTCATAGCATAGACATAGACTGTACTTCCCCGCAACTTGTATCATGTAGCTTTTCAGACTGAAAGGATCCAGCCACAACCCAGAGTGGGGTATACACATCATCGAGCTAGTTAGCTAGTTACGGCGGTTGCTCCCTACCGGTACCGGTATACGTCGCGACCAGCCACAAGAAGCACCATCAAAGAATCTAATAGCAGCGTTGATTGAATTCCAACTGGACTCTCGACTCGACTCTGCAATATTATCAAAGCTGCCATCGCCCAGTATCGTCCGTGTCGGTACCACTAGCGCGAATTCGGCCTTTTGCCTTGCCAACGAGTAGACGGAGATCATTTCTTGCTACCGGTATCACCGTAGTGAAGGTCAATCCTCCTAGCTAGTTTTGATGGTGCTCATAGTAATATATGATGATAGAATGCAACAATCACGGGTCACAGTTGTGCTCGTTACTGGTTTGCCATGCACTCGTACAGTAACCCTGGTCCAAAGGAATTATGAAACCATCAAAGCTTAAACGTCCTTTCATTTTCGTACCGAATTCGGAGAGCTCCGTTGAGATTGTTCAATGTCCGCTGAGTGGCAGCCTCGATTGTGGGGAGTCCATAGAACTGGTCAAGACGGCCCGCAAAAGTACACCCAACAACCAGCTTCTCCAAGAAGTTTTTGGGTAGTGACCGCTTGGCGAGAGCGACCATCAAATTGACTGCCATTGGCGTATGATACATACATATCTGGGCAAAATTGCTAGGGTAAGAGCCATGGATTTCTAATAACATCCTCGTCACGGTCTTGCCATCAATCATGTTCTTTGAAGCATCAAATCCTACGTAGGGAGCAGAATGAATGAATGAGAGGGAAGAAATTGACCTGTTTTCAGTGCTGCAATTCTAGGCTGACCTTCACACTCGACAATTTGAACTTGGCCTTTCCTGACAGTCTCAAGGTTTGGGTACATTGCGTGGGACATGTAGTATAAAGCCTGGAAGACAGTGCTGGTTTTTCTGTGGCACCTGAATATGCGTCTGTCCAAGCCAGTAAAATCAAAGACATACAAAGAGTGTCCAAGCTCTGCATGAAAATCAAAGTGCAGTATCCAACCAGGATGATATTCGAACATTATTTTCTTGTAGATCCTGTCAGCTTCTGCCATTGAATCTGTGATATTGTATTCTTTTTTGTACTCTTGAAGCTTGTAGACCCGAGTCACAGCAACGTCCAAGTCTCCCTGTGTAAAAATGGCCAAATGAGCATACATCATGTCTGAAATATTGTCGAGATCAGGAGCCGCTTCCACAGCATGCTTGATCTGCAAGGCCCATTCACGCTCTTGGTTGGAGATCTCCATGAGCTTTGGTTCAGCTTGCATAGTTACAGAAGGTGGTACCGATGGTGACGATATCTCCTCTTCTTCCTCATCATAACTCTCGCTGTCAGCCCTGTTCTCTTCTTCCCCACCCTTCTTTCCATCAACAGAGTGTTCATTGTTGGGCTGTCCGGTGGAGGACTGCTCAGCAGGGTCTACATCTTCTTGCTCCTCATGTGTTTGATTTGCGGATGAGGTTGCCATAGTAGCTAGCTAGGTATATCTACTGGGTAGCTAGGTTGGTTTACACGGTGTGACAGTGCTCGAGCCCGAGCTGATCGTGTTTTTAAAACAGCATATGTTGTTAGAACAAATAATGCTGTTTGGGATGGTGCAGCTGTCTCTCACCTCTAGCTTGGTGCTCTTTTCACTTTTCACTGGCAACAAAGAGACATTGTGCCGTGTACCGGTAGTCGAAAGGCATGTAGAACTTGTACAGGCTGGCGTACTGGCGATGCTCTCTTTCCGAATAACGTAGGAAGAACAAGCAAAGATTTATTTGATAATGCTGGACAGTACCGTACAGTGTACAGTGCACAATTGCAAACTGTATATTATGGTACGATCGACAGTACCAGTTGGGTAGGGTGATTTGTCCCTCACAAATTTTCACTTAGGCTAAGTGGATTTACGTGAATCACTTAGACTAAGTGTTCTACTTAGCCTAAGCAAAACATTTTGGCTAAGCAATACACTTAGGCTAAGTGATGCTCTCCGAGGCATCATCTTCTCAACAGCACAAGTCCCTGCAGCTTGTTGTATACACAAACTCTGTATTACTGCTGATCCTCATTCGCAATAGTAACTATATTGCCAGCAAGTGCTTTGGGGCTGTGCAATGAGGGAATGATGGCCACACCAAAGGCACAACTAACGACCAACAACTCTCAGATGGTAGGTAAATACGCTGAACATGTATTTGGAAACATCGGGAACATCCCAGATTTTGCAAGAAAGCAACATCATTTGTACACCGGAATAGTACCCACAACTCCTGAGGAGTACTTTCGGACTTCCACCCTGGAACCGTAATAATTCCCAATCACACAGAGTCTCGCTCCCTTGGCACTTTTTGTTGTTGCGTATTTACATTATAGCCAAGGGTGGAAGCCAGATTAATAATATGCTGCCATGCATGGATGATACCATCCTCCAGGGAAGTCGCAACCTGGATCTAAATCTCAGTCTTAGCCCAATTGAACTCTTTTTTGTGAAGTTCCTTGAGCAGTTCGCAGGAAGTTTTGCATAAGGCGGAGGATATGGTGGGCGATGGTTGTATTTGAACTTGTGTTTGCGCTCTGTTTACAGCAAGCTGCAGGGACTTGTGCTGAACTTGTGCTGTTGAGAAGATGCCTTGGAGAGCATCACTTAGCCTAAGTGTTTCGCTTAGCCTAAGAGAGTTGCTTTGTATTGCTTAGCCTAAGTGTATTGCTTAGCCTAAGTGCATTGCTTAGGCTAAGTAAAACACTTAGCTGAAGTGGATTTTCGAGCACTTAGCCTAATTGAAAATTTGTGAGGGACAAATCATGCTACCCGCCTGCGTACAGAAGACCGTAAGAAGGAAGCCCTGGAGCACTGTCGAAACAATTGGATTTAACACAATGTCACTTTTCTGAGTGTTAGAAAACTTTTACTAAACGGAAGTCGTTGCTGCAACAGACACTTGCTTACAGAAGCTGTATGAGTACTCAATTACTTAGTAATCTTTTTGAGTCTCTAGTAGGGGCACATCTACAAGCAAGCTAGCTATTAATACAGTAGCTATAATATTTCTCATCCACCCTTTTCCCCTGCCAACCTACGAGCTAGTAGTATCTGTTTGAGACAAAGACATGCACTCACCGGGTTACCCAACGGGGCAGAAGACTCGGAACATCGAAAAAGTAGAATGAGCCCTTTTCATGCTACCGGTATTATCTCTACTCAATACAACAACATCATCTTTCAGTCGTTCAGAGTAATAGACTGAAGCAGCTGAAGTCGCATTTTACACCCGGATCCGCAGTCTGAAAATTCTCTGCAAAGTAAAGGGTGCAACGGGCTTCCTTGGATTCCACTTGTTTGACCCGTGGTCCCCTGCAATCCACAACAATCCAGGCAGAGTGACCTATTGCTCGGTATTTTCCATTATTAGGATCAAACCGACTCACGTGTTGATTGATCTTGTCTCCCTTCCTTGTAATTCCAATTGCCCAACTCAACTTGCCACCAACAACAAAATCCAACTCCCCAGTGATCACATTCCCCGATGAATCTTTGGCAAAGGTATTCAGCTCTGGGCAGACAGACACATAAGCATGAAGCTGCAAAGTCAGGGCTTCAAAAAACAGATGCTGTAATGCCACCTCTTTCGTGAACTTCCCGTGGTCACAGGATTGCTTAAGCCTCAAGGAAGACATAGATTGCACTGCCTTGGTCATTAGGTCTTCAAGAGAAGCAGGTGACTCTGTGGGGCGATGGTAGAAAGTGTTGCAGTAGTGCCACTGAGACAACATGCAAGAGAAGTTGCCGTTCGCTGATAAAATTCCAGCACGGACCACTTGCACCAGAGCTTTGTCGTCAATAGTACCTTGCGAAGCATCTATGACTTCTCCAAGTGGACCATTCAAAATCACTGTAGTTACAACTTCCCTTTGTTCATCCTTCATCAGCTTCTTGCAGGGAAAAATTCGGCTTAAGATGACGCGAAATCGGTGATCTCGTAAAGCCGCAAGTGCCTCTTTTTGTTCCAATGATCTCTTTTTGGTTATTCTGGTACATTTGGAAAAGCAAGTTAATTCCAGCACTTAGAACTCCAACGTGTCCATCTGCAAGTCGGAGGATTGTGTCCTTGAAGGCGGGCCATTTTCCTGCAAAGAAGATCTCCTTCATGTAGCCTTCATAGAGGCTTTCCGCTTCATCTTCTGTCAACTTGAGGTCATAGATATGAGGGTGTTCTGCAAAGGCATACAGGGTGCTACCCAACGACAATGTGGAATCCAGTTGAATATCTACCTGAGGCCAAGTCTTTGAATACTATAATCCAGAAGAGGTCTGCTTCGAACCCGATTTGTGCATCATCGATCAGGATCCAGGTCTAGCCAGATATCGACCCAACTTCTGACGTGGAATTCACACCCAAGAGCTTGAGCAAGTCTTTCTTTAATTCATTGCTGTCACTTGATCGAACCGTAAATTCAATGACTATTGTGTCATCTCCTCTTTCCCGAAGACTCTTCGCCGTTGTGCAGAATTGTAACGCTATTGGTCTCATCAATGATGGAGGATTTGAGTGATGCCCTTGGCAAAACTGTTCCAGGCGAAGCCCTCGCTATTCCGTCCCTTGGAGGGGAGCGAGGGTACGGCGCCGAGTTTGGGGCTACCGGTACGACCGGCTTGTACACTTTGTTGGTTTCCAGAGATTCATATCCTAGAGCCTCTCTTCCTGTTTCAACGTTGAAAAAGCTAAGAGCTCCGAATCTCTTGAGCAGCCGATCGTACTCTTGTTCATTTGCAACTGTGAGTTCGCTCCTTCCGACACTCTCATCGTGGTCAACATATATGTAGATATTCTTCATCTTGGGATCGTGCACAACCAGCGACCGCGGCTTTGCGCCGTAACAAAGACCGGACGAAAACAAACTTGCTCGGTCCTGCAACGTGGGTGTTGATGTCAAGACGTCAGTCGACCCAACGGTCACCATTTGGATCTTGATGATGTGGACCATCAGAATTGGGATCACAAACAGACACACGATCTAGCTACTGGTACTGTATCCCTAATATACAACCGTACTAGCATAGTAGAGGGTATGTGCAAAGGGGAGTTGTACCGACTGGTGGGACTTGGGGAGTACTCTTACTAGCTCTTACTAGCGCCAGCAGTGACCGGTCCCCCCTAATCAGTGCTAAGTAAGAGTATCTGTTGGGTAAGGCAGCCAACACTGCAACTACTAGCTATTATCAAGTTAATCTGTTGATTTGGGCGAGCTGTGGCGAAAGAATGATCTTTCTGGCTGGTTGCTCTGAAATCTGGATTCTGAGAATGCCAGTTTCCTTAAAATCCTACGATGGTGCGGTCTTTTTCTTATCCGGGTCCGCTAAATTTCTAGACCGGCCAACACACTCCTGCCGTGGTCCCTAGTGGATCCACGGAACGATTAAAACTAAACTAAATACCGACGCATTGAAAGGTATGGGTAATGAAATTTTTAAGTTGCCCCATTGACTGTTTGGACTGCTGCATCGTGTCAAGGGAGGTGTAAAACCCAGGGTGGACTATGGGTAGCAATGTCATAGAGTGTAAACTGGTGATGCTAGAGCATGATCAAGTAGTCGCAGAAGCAATGATTTTCTATTGAGTTTAATGTACTTTTGAAACTGATTTTTGAAAAAAGTGAGGCTCGCCTCGCGTCCAAGTCATTTCCTTTCCGAATCGGGATTGAAAATCAAGCCGTTTCTTTAAGTCACACATTCCAATCACAGTTCCGCGAAAGAAAAAAAGAAACAAGCCTGTCAATCTGCGAAACGTTTTTGACCTCAAGTAAATAACACAATAAATCCTCGTCAATCGCTCAAGCCCACTTTGACCACTGTTGACCACTGAAACACCTGTTGACCAGCGAAAACAGATGCTTTCCTTCACAAGCAATCACAAGATGCCGTCACGTAAGATGCCACACTTCACAAATTCCTGGAAGATCCGATCATCGGGAGGAAAGATCGCGACCGAAGATCGCGATGGAAGCTCCGTCGTGAAAGATCCCATCACATCGGCAGTCGCGAAAGATTCCATGATCCACTCCCATCAGTTCGTCGCAACAGTTCCTTTCAGTGGCAAAGCTCGCACGACGCCACACAGTTCAACCAGTCATCCTTCCACTGTGGCAGCAGTCAGTCAACCATCAAACTGGGTGGGGAAGCGCGAGCTTGTGCCACTGAAAGGATCCCCAACACATGAGCCACAAGCCACTCCTTTGAAGCTGTACAGTGCACAGCTGTTGGTAGATGACCCCACATGTCTCCTCATATTTTGAGGGAAAATAAACGTAAACAAACTGACAGAGAATGAGGATTCGAACAGTTCTGCAAAGATAAAAAAAGACAGCCAAAATAGGGCCACAGACTCACCAAAAGGCCAAGCAAAATAGCTTGACACAAATACCACAACATTTCACACTGTTGCATCCCCTGTAACAGACAATACTTGCACTCAGTCTCCACCTTGGAATCCAAAAATGGCAACAGTTAGAAAGGAGACCAAAAGAAAAGAGGCAACAACAGCACAAGAACTCACCTTGCAAGATCTCTTCTCCGTTCGCATCAAAGACAACCTCGTCCTCGTCAAACTCCTGATCCTTCAGCTGGCTATTCTCGTTCCACAGGGGGCCCAAGGGATTCTCCTCGTCAAGTGCCGCCTGAGCCTCGGCACTCGTCAAATCAATATCTGGCTGTCCCCTTCCACGCAAAACAGACTCCACATCGTCATGCCACCACACATCCCTCATGCGCTTGATCTGCTTTTCGATATCACGATAACGAGGTCCTCCACGACGATCCACCTTCTTTCCGTCAGCCGCCAAAGCAGCCCGTGCACTCTGTCCACGCGAGCCAGTTCGGTCACCCAATCGATGCACAATTGCTCCCTCGTTTCGATAGATCTCCTTGAGAGCATGGGCGAACTTGAGGATGTCAGTGCAGATCTGTTTGCTGGTTGGCGCCCCATCAATACAGCGCATGTAAGCCTCTTGCCCCCGCTTCGACGTGCAGATAGTAAACTTGCGAGAATCATCATCGGGCAAATGACTCGTCATGATAATATGACGGTTGACACAGTCGTTCAAATACTTATTGCAGCTTGTGTCCCATGGCATCATCTCCGGACTGTTGCCACTAGGAAAAGCGTCACACCATTCTCCAGTCACAGACATCTCGTAAACAGGAAGCAGCCAGTGATTGTAGTAGCCATGCTCTTTCATCCAAGCGACACACTCCTTGTTCGTCGTCTGTGACAAAGCGTCATGATAAAAGTACCAACGACTGGATGGAAGGTCTGGATAAAACTCTTCAAAGTGGGCTTGGGTTTGTTCGTAGATGTGCTTGACAAGTTCCGTGACACACACAGTACTTGAGACTCCCTTGGCTTTCTGGATGAAATGCCGCCACTCATCACCGTAACGAGACAGGTACGGATTCTTTGCATTGCGATAATCGATGTCGTCAGGAATTTCCTCAATGCCCTGTCGACATTCTTCACGCCATCCTTTGAGTCGCTTGACGCTTGCTCCAACTTTTGCCATCTTCTTGCCGCGATCGTTGACACCATTTGACATTCGAGTAATGT